TCACGGAGAAATCTCTGCCTTGAAGTCATTTCCACAGAGTGACATTCCAAACTCAAGAGTAATATAGGACTGATTTGCTAAAAGAAGAAACACTTCTTCTTTACTAAAAGAAGAAGTCTAACACAATTCCCAAGGATCCCAGAAAACAATTTTGAAATTCAAGAGAGGCTGCTGGGTAGGAACAGCTGTGTAACTTATAAACTCCAGTGTGTGATGAAAAATCATTAGATGTTTCAAGGTGGCGATAGCAGAGCACGAAACCAAGCAGGGACTTTTTTGAGTGCAGGGCTCTGGGCAGTTCAGGTTCCAGACCTAGGAAGCGAGTCCTGCTGCTACTTTATTCTCAGTTACTCAGACAATTAAATAAACTAAAATGTTCTCATTTTTGGCATTCCCATGATTTAAACCCTTTCATGCACAGGAACCACAGAAGTGATCAGGGTTCTTTTCATTCCTTTGATGACTTACACACCACTGGGTGGTTAATATTTTTGTGGCTCATATCAAAAAGAGATGAGGCACACATAAAAATGACTGCCCCAATGCTGTCATTAAAAGTGTTGAATCTTCTGTGTCTACAGCGTGCAACCCAATGAATGTAGTCACTGACCTAGTTATCTTGGCTGTGAAAGAAGCTATTCTGTGAATGGGTTTGTGAGGAGTCACCAATGTATAGGCAACAATAATATGACCATCCAAAGATCCCATGCAGAGGATTACAGAGAGAGGGTATTTTTGTACTGATTGCTAAGATGAGAAAAGAAGGCATTTTTTGATCACAACACGTTTCATCTAAATTCTCCCTCTGCATTCCTAGAAGAATACTGCAGAGAGGGGAAAAGTATCCCTTTACCATCTGGAAAGTATTTCCTCTTGAATCTTCAATCCATTGTCCAGGAAAGCATATATACTACGGGTTGATGCTCTGAAAACTAGCTAGTTAAGATAAATGACATGAAGAGCCACTCTATTTAGATAAACTGAGAAATAGAAAGGGAATAAATAGTGGTGTGACTTTATAGTTCTTGTTTCAAAAGCAATAATAAAAATGCTTGATTCATGCTAAAAGGAAGACAGAGGCAGCTGAGCTATGGGTGGGGCGGGGGGACTGTGTATTGCTAGTCTGTTCCAAGGCCATTGCAGAGACAGACTTCCCTAGCGCGGGGAAGAGAGACCAGAGGCTCTGTGTCAGCTCAGCTCCTTTCCTGAGGAGCAGCTGGGAATCACGTAAGCCCTGTCATTTAGCCATTACATTCATGCTGCCTGGAGCCAACCAGACTTTTTAAGATCATCTTCCTCCAGCAGGGAGACCCCTGGACTCCTAGTACTCTGCCCCCTGCAGAGATTTATGACCTGGGATCCCCATTCTGCTAACGACCCAGGAGCTAGACAGGACTCCAGCTGCATGAGTCTCAGGCATGCCTTTTGGACGCCGATGCAGGGGGTCGGGGGTTCAAACCAGCAGAGCAGTTTTTCTTTTTCATTTAAATTACAAATGAGAAGGCTGCAGATTAAGATGTTTTAAAGATTCCACTCCTCAATCCTTTGGGGACCCTCCTACAAATTGAACACGAAACACCAAATCGCACCCTGTTAAATCCTGCCATTCAGTTGGCTGAGTGAGGTGTGAGAGAATGAGCTACTGCAGTCACTCTGGCTTCTTGAGGCCATTGGAAGGGCACCACCGGACACCGGGGTTTGGAGAAGGCCCCACGCCTCATTGGAGACAGACTCGAATAAGAAAAACGGGCTCTCGTGTTCAGAAAAATAAAACTGGGCTTCCTGTCTACTTAATCAGGAATGAAAAATTGTTAGTATTCTGGGCAAGAGAGAAATGTATCTGACAGCTCAAAGGAAAACAAAGCAACTTTTAAAATTAAGATCTATTTTCCCAATTCAATTGTTAAAACAAAACTCTGGAATTTAAGTGTGTGTGTGTGTGTGTCTGTGTGTGTGTATTGTTTCAAAAGCAAGTGATAAAAATGCTTGATTCATGCTAAAATGAAGCCAGAGGCAGCTGAGCTATATATATATATATACAGAGAGAATATGTTTATTCTTCTGTACTTTGTCATTGATAGTTTTGCTTCACAGACAAAACAAGTAACTGTTGAGAATTTGATTCTCTTTTTACAGAAAAATTAAGCCAACCAATATTAATTGGGTATTTAGCACATGTGCTGTACAAAGAACACTCACATGGATTTGCCCAGTGTGCCCTCCCCTTATGTTCCCCCAATTACATACAAGACGGGCAGATGAAGGGAGACTGGCACCCAGGTCGGTGGCTTCACAGCCCACACCTTTAACCACGTGCAGTCTGCCCAGCAGGTACTGTATACTCCCTTTGGCCCACTGGCATCCAGGCCCACTAAGTCCACTCCATGCAGAGGTGTGGGTTGGGAGCCAGGATCTTTGTCCGACCTGTGCCATAGGAAGCTATGGGGTCCGCTTGCCCTCCAGCCCCTGCTGTTGGCTGGGGTGCAGCAGGAACCACCTTTGTCCTCCTAAGGACTCTTCCAGCAGGAAAGCACGTCATTTGGTTTCCAGTCAGGATTTGTATTCTTTTCCAAAGCTTTCTCTTTTAGGGGAAAATACACATTTTAAAATGTGAGACAAATAAATAAAAAGTTAAGGTGGGGCCTCTGGGTTGTTCCTAGGTGAATCTGGGGCACTCTCAGTGTGTTTTCTACCTTCTGCTGCCATACACCAGGTTCAACTTCCCCCAGGCCCTTCTGTCGCAAATTGTCTTTCCTTTCAGCACACAGAGCTCTTGCCAGAATTTGCCTATAACATTGGGCCTGAATGAGATACGGGTAGAATACAGGACATGGAAGAACACAGAGATGTCTTTGGCTCTAGATCCCTCAAAGCTAGAAGAACAAACTGCAGGGAAGCAGAGAAGGACCAGTGGAAAAAAAGTGATGGGCAGAACATCCCTTATGTGTATACATACTTGCAACAGAGCATAAGGGATATATGGCATCCACTTAAAAACTCTTTGAAGGAATCAGTAAGCATGCAGCAAAAAGGGAACCAGAGACATACTCTGTGAAGGCTTTTGGGAAGAAGCGGGACATTGGAGGAGAAAAGGCAGAGTGAGGGGGTGGATTCCCAAATGGGCTGTTCGTGGGAGGAAGGGGTGGTCGTTTCCTGATCCCCATCTCTGAGGTCTGAGGCTGTGGGCCCAGAGTGTGGAATGGGGTGAAGGAGGAATGCTGGGAGAGACCAGAGGGAATATCAAATCAATGTCCTGGGAGGGAGGAAACGACCGGGCAAGGGTGTTAGGATTGGCTGCCATCCTGGGGTGACCGTGTGAGATAGTGACCATAGTTTTTGAGTGAGAACAGGGGCTTATAAATTTTCTGGCAGTATTTCACTACTGAGCTCCATGTATGTAGTGGGTGATATGTTGAGTGTAGTTAGGCTGGGTCTCCCAGGAAGGATAAGGGAGCAAGAATTGGGGAATCCAACGCCCTCCATCCTGTGACTCTGCTCGCCTTGCAGGTTGCCCTTCCCCACCTGACTAGAGCTGGCTCACTAAGGCAGGCCTGCCATAGCCCATGGAGAGGTGAAAGGGGGAGGCCGAGTCTGCAGGACATACACAGAAGGACCTGCCTCATTTCTGCTGGCATCCTGCCAGCCAGACGATGATTTGGGCAGGAGGATGGGGAATCCTGGCTGAGGCAGGGCCAGTAACTCTGTCAGATAGTGGGTCCCCAGTCCCTGAGGACACAGGTGGGCTGGGAGTACAAGATCTTCTCAGGGAGGCCCATCTCAGCACCCTAATGGAAAGAAAGACCCTAGACCCTCAAATGTTGATAAGGGGACTCATCTGCATTCTGAACAAGTGACCCAGGCACCACACAGGTGAGAGAAGAAGGCAGACAGACAGTGCCTCTCACCCTCCTATATTTTACTGTCTCCACGAAAAGCATCCATTTTATGATTGGAGCCTCAGTTCCGCAAGCCTGGGACCCACATTCCAGCTGTTTTTGAAGCCGCCCACCCTCCCTTTACCACCCAGGGAGCCCTGTGCATGCTTCCTCTAACCGATTCCATTCAGTCGGCCTCAGAAAAGATAAAATGCTTCCATGTGCAACAACATGGATGAACCTTGTGAGTATCACGCTAAGTGACATAAGTCAGACAGAAAAAGTCAAGAACCATATGATTGCACTCATACGTGGGATATAAAACTGAAAGCAACAACAAACGAGACAAACAAGTGAATAAAAGATTCATAGACACAGACCACAGAGGGGTTATAAGACAAGGGGGTTGGGGGAGAAAAAGGTAAAGGGTGTCAAATATATGGAGACAAATTGAGACTTGACTTTGGGGGGTGGACACACAATGCAATATATAGATGATGTATTTATTATACAGGGTCCAGCAGAAGTAAAGCTTCTTTGAGTGTGGTTGGTAAGTATGTGAATGTCTCACACAAGATGGACAGCACTTTGAACACTTCACTTAAAATTTTATATAATGTGCTCGAGTGTGATATTGTTATGTTACAGATTTGTAAGCTTATGATTTTGTAATAAAAGATTCTGTAATAAGAAGGGGTGTTATTTGTGCCGGACCCTGTAGAATTGAACCCTTGAAACCATATGTATTCATTGATCAATGTTACCCTAATACATTTAATACATTTTTTAAAAGAAAAAGAAATAGCAGGAAGGAGGCAGGAGCCTGGGAACCAAAACATCTTCACCACATAATGTTTAAATACTGTCACCCATGCCAGTATGCAGACTGAAGTAAAAATCTAACAGGATGCTACTGTGAGAACTTCCACTGACATTCCCAACATTTCCCAGGTGACTTTTTAAAGCTCACTTTTTCAGGCAGTCCTTGTGACTTTTGCCTCTTTGCAGTTAGGGATTACATGATGGTACTCAGTGCTTCTACCCTCCAGACACAGGGGTTCCTAGGACTTCCCAAGTATATTTGCAAAACTACCAAACCAGTTCCAGTGCACACAGTGGTCTTACCTGGGAGGACATGCAGATACTTTGCAAGGCACCACCCCTGTGACAGGCCGGGTGTTGGGATTGCAGAATGACGTATTTACTTGAAACTTCAGGTCTCTGTAGCAGCCTTCTCGTGTGGTCATCTGCCCTACGTGAAAGGGTGAGATGCAAGATAAAGACTCACAGACATGCTCCATGGTAAAAGGCAAGTGAAAAGCTAATGAAGACTCATAGAAAAAAACTTCACGACGTTTGCAAGTCTTTGTGTTACTGACCAATTTGCTAACTGTAGGTCTTATACTTTCCTGACTGGTCTTCATTATTTTTATTAGTGAATTTCATCAGTTCTAAGGTATGTGCATTTTCCTTCTACATTTTAACTTCTTTAAAATCAACATGGGTCTTGCTGTCCATACAAACATACCTTTGATGAAACAGTAATTCTTTTCTATTGTTTCTGTGGTTGAAATATATGTATTGTTTCTTAAAACTAACACAATACTAACTATGCTAGACTTATGTGTCCATTGAGAGGTTGCAATTGGAAACAATCAATCGGTAATAAAGCAGAAAGAGATACAGATGAAAATAACACCAGGCAGTTTATCACCAGAGAATTTACAGAGCTAAATATTGCCACAGTTTCAAGCCAACTGTCAAACTTTTCCCAATAATGATTTAGGTGTTGTATGGAATAAGGTCAATGGAAATGTAAGCCAGTTTGATTTCTGCCTCTGCTTACATCTTCAGCTATTTAGGACTCTGTGAACATCCCTAACTTTGTTCAACACTTGGATTCATTAATTTACCTAAATAAGCATTGTTACTTACATGAAGTACCTAGGATAGTCAAAGTCATAGAGAGGGAAAGTAGAATGGTGGGGGCCAGGGGCTGGGAGAGTGGGTTAGGGCGTTGGTGTTTTTTGGGGCCAGAGTGTCATTTGAGAGGATGGAAAAGATCTGGAGATGGGACAGTAGTGACTGTGTATGGCAGTGTCAATGTGCCACAGAACTGTGCACTTAAAAGTAGCTAAACAGTAACTTTTATGTATATTTTATAACAATAAGAAAGGAACTCACATTAGATATTCACTTTGATGGATGTTATTAAATAGTTGATTTAATGGAGAGAAAAATATTAATAATAAGAACCAAACTTGTGTCGATTTAAAATTAACAACATTAAAATATATTATCATCTAAAATAATTTAATTGCTGTGCTTGGAAACACTGGAGTCATACTGTTTATGTGGCCATATGTCTTTTGCTTCCTGAAGCCCAAGCTGGAGAATGACAGAATGATGTCCTGACTCCCTGCTCAGGAAGATCCTGTTTGCTCGTAGAGGAAAAGCCCAAAGGTGCTTCAGGACAGCCAAGCCGCTGTTGTGGGTTCCAGGCGCAGCAATCTTGAACTCTTGGTTCCATTTGAAACCAAATCCTTTCTTACTTAAGGAGAAGCAAAGCCTCTAAAGCGAACATTAGAAACAAGTTTGACATTTGGGCTCTCCTTTGTAAAAGGAATAAACCAAGTCTCTAGAGACTCGGTTTTCTTGAGTGGCAAGAGGAGGAGCAGCCTCCAGGGGTCTAAAGCAGACCATGCGCCTGAGCCTCAAACCACCCACTGCCTGGGGTTTAACCCTGTGGGGACAATGGAAGGGTGGTTGCACGGGACATTTGCAGTTTTGTGCAATTATTCAACTCTTTGCTAATTTTACACAATCATATTCTAAAAGGTTTTCTGGGAGGTGTCTCCCACTGTGAATTTTGCAAACATTTCTTCCTGATTTTAATGATATCTGATGAAGAATGGTTTATTAAAAGTGACATTGATGAAGCCCATGGAATACTTCTACAGTAACATAAGAACATTTATGTACACCTTTTGAGAATCTGGAAGGCGATATTTCTATGAAGGAACAAGGTCTAAATTATACATAATGAATGACCCTAAACACTACTGTCAGGAAGGTCAAGTTGGCATTCATTGAAGAAGACCCTCAATGTCACAGGGCAAAAGAATGAAAATAAAAATGAGTGTTTTAAGCGCTCTGGTAAGTTTGCAGCCCCCATGTCTGCTCTAATACATAGGTTTAGGACAATCAAAGATGGGGTTGGTGACTCGTGTGGGACACAAGAGTGTGTTCCCACACCCGCATGGAAGAGACAGAAGTAGCGATTGGAGAGACAAAATTCCCTCTTCAGCAGAAGCAGGGTGGACGGCAGCCTTCACATCATGGTTCTGTTCTGTGGGCTGAGCTGGGACATTCACACTTCAACACTTAGGGAGCATCCAGGTGTCACATGGCCAGTCTCCATGGAAACAGGCTTAGGTTCTGCCCTAAGAAACCATTTTTCACAGTTAATTCAGAGCTACAAAGAATTCCATTAGATCAGAAGGTCTTTACTTTGCTCCAGGACCTGAAAATCTGAGCTCACAGGCCTGGCCAAGGGCATTCCTGTTTCTCCTTTCACATCCCTGCTTTTGTTCCTTAGTTTCTGTATGGTTCCTATCAGATCAATTCTCCCTGGAGATTTCCCTCCCAATCCTCTCCCAAATGCCGGCTTTCCCATTACCTATTCACCACATTGTTCTCACCTATATTTCAGCCATCCAGTAACCTCATTTATAGGAAAGATGGCAAGAACTAAAATGTAAGGGAAAGAAATTACTCTCACGTTTATGTGCAATATTTATATTTTTTTTCCTTAAAGACTTTTTGTGGGTCCTTAATCAGAGACTTCTGCTCACCATATGCCTGTAATTTGCATACTCAAGTTCTTGAGATTAGACTTCTGAGACTTTAAGTTGTCTGCTTGCCTGTTGGCCTTTGTCACATTCCAGAAGGAAAAAGACAAGCTGTTCTTTGAATTGGCTTGTAGCCACTCAGCTGCAGAGGCTACAAGCCAGTACTCTCATGCACACACACCCACATCCAAATACATTCGTGCATGCACACAGGCCTTTGTACATATGTGTGAACAGATATACACTCCTCCTCTTTAGATGACCACATAATCCAAAAATAGGGAGATATGTGTTCATCATCCCTGCCCTAGGGCCACAAGAATAACAAGATCATTATGTAATTCCCTCTTGCTTCAAGAGTTTCATAACCTAACCTACATAATTTCTTAGGCAACGCTATAACATGAACAGAAAAGAATAGAAACTGGCATTTATTTGACTAGACAAAGGGTTAAGAGCTTTATAGCTATTCTCTCATCTAGTCCTTAGAGGAACCTACACAGTAGGTCACATTATGATCCACATTTTACAGATGGGCTTAGGAAGATGTAAAAGGCTTACGTAGCTAGTAATATGAGTTGTTAAGATGTGGGGCCAGGACATGCCCCCTGGCTTTATGGCCCAAAACACCACAGTGTACATTATAGCTCACTTTCTTTCTACCCAATGTTAACACAGGGTAGAGGCTTCTTATTTGAGACAGAGATTCATGCTATTTTCTATTTCAGAACTCTTCATAGACTAGGGGTAATTTCTTAAACTCTGTTGCAGTGGAATAAATGGAGCTCAAAATATAAATAATGAAAGTCACGCCCAGAAGCAGGAACAAGAGAGGCATGAAGTGGGCCCAGGGGAGCTGCCACCATGGAGGGGTGACAGAAGGCTTGCCCCACGTCACCATCCCTACACAGGGTCCTTGCATATTTATGAATTGATAAGTGGTTAGGATCTTGTGTTTGTTTATTCAACAAGTATGCACTTGGCTCCTGGTATATGCAGGACACTACGCTAGGTCCTGAAGACACAGCAGCTAATGACAAACCACAAATGTCATGAACCAACCTCCACCAAAACCATTCTATCTCCGTCACAGAATCCAAACCATGAAGAGTACAGCAAATAACAAAAACAGACCTGAGTACACATCAGGTGTGATAAAGCCATGAAGACAAATATCTTGAGAGGCCAAGGGAGTCAAGGGTGGCACTGCCTGGGATGGCAAGGGACCACGGCCTGCTGCCGAAAGGCTTCCTCAAGCTCATGACGGGTGAGCAGAGCATGGCAGAGACAAGCTGCAGGGAACACTGACACTCAGTGACAAAAGGTCCTTCTTTCGAGCCAGGAGAGCTCAAAGCAATGAGAAAGCTTGCACATATGATGCTGGTGCAGAAAAGAATCAAAACCAGAGAATGGTTAAAAAAGCAAAGCAAAGCGGTGCTCAGTACAGTAACAGTTAGAAAGATGAGATGTGGAACGTTAAATTCTGTTATCTTCAGGACACGTTTTAGGCAGTAAGTGTGCCCAGGTCCTGGGTATTCTGCAGAGATCGACTTGGGAACTGACATAAGAAATACTCTTTCAGTTGTACTACAGGCATTTATCTCTGTTTCAAAATGAGAATCGTACCCAACACATCACTGCATTTTTGCTGTGATTAAGCCAGGTTGTGAATAAAGGGGTAAGCAAAGGCAAGGTGGGGGGTAATTGGCTAGGCAATCTTGTTAGTTACATACTGAGCCCACAGGCCAGGCTCCCCGGGCCATGGGGGTTCACTGTCCACACAAACACACACAGGTGAATACAATATGACATGCCAGGGGTGTACTGGATGGACCAGGGATGCCACATCCTAGATTCTTAAAAGTGACCTGGCGACGCTCAACCTCACTTTCTCTTAATTGAGGGGATCCTTAGCAGCACTTAGAAAGCAAAGAGGAGGGAGTACACACCAGTGCCCACCATCCCAGCATGAGTGCCTTCAGGCAGCTGAGCACCCCTGGCCAGGTTGGGGAGTGCTGGTCTGTTAAGAAAAGGACACCTGCAAACACTCCTGGCTTTGGATGTCCAACCAAATCAGCATTTTCCAAAAGACAAGATTTTTCACAGGGATACAGCCTCAAGACACCTGTCGCTGTGTTTTATGCTCCATTGAAATGGCCGGGGATATAAATGTTCAGCTTGCATGGTGAATGAATTTTTGAGGTCAAATCTGTTTGCAGGTGGTAAGGATGCTTGAGATTTTAATTTATAATTCATTTTCCCAGACCATGTAAACAATAATGGACATAAAACTGAATTTAAATGTTTTTTCCTTTGGTGGTTTTCAAATATCTAAATATGCTGAGAAAATAAAAATATATAGAGACAGTCATATCCCCAATAGTATTTAGGACTTCCAAGTTCTATTTTTACATGAAGTGGTAGATAACTATGTTTTCAGATGAATTTCCTGTGATGGGATTGGGTCTGCTCAGCCGTACAGCTGAACATTTACAAGGACTCAGGTACTGTTTCTCTGACTAAGGGCACATCTGTGGAATAATTTCTGAACAGGGCTGTCAACTGCTCGACTATTTGTCAGAAAGAAATATCACATAGTCTGTGGGAACACCAGGATCAAGCCAATTTTCTAAAATGATCCATATTAATAAATAAGAGGGAAGAGTATACAACTCAAAGGCTTGAGTAAGAAAGTCAGAAAGGACATCCTCTAACTGGGAAGTCCGGCCACGGGAGGTGGCAAGTGTCGTGAACCCTGTGCCCAGGCTCTGCCCTCATCTTCATGGAAACTGACTCTGGCCAGTTCTTTGAAAAGCATTTTGAAATCTTCACATTTTGCCAAAGTATCTGGAAGAGGAGTATTCAGGCTTAAAGACTGTGATTTTATCAAATAATCTCCAAGTTTTTAATAATTTTAACTATAGAATTAATTCCAGCTGTTGCCAAAAGCCTTAGAAAACAACCATTCAAGCACAACTCCACAGAGAACTGGAAAATATTCCACAAATAAATGCACGTGGTCCCTTGAGAAGCGCATCATTACTACAGGGAGTGCTAGAGACACTGCGGGCCTGTGATACATAGGCACAAAATCCTGAAATCGGAAGAGAGACAATATTCCAGGACACCAGAGTGGGGGAATTCCTGGGAGCAGCTCAGGTTCTGAAGGATTCCAGGCTGTGTTTAAGTGACAATTTCCCCTGGTGTGATCACACTGAGCATATGGCACCCTAATGTGCTCCAGAACTTGGAGGCTGGTGACTATGGTCGTTTATGGAGGACACAGGACATCTTTATGCATCTGATCTGCTTACTGATTTCCAGGACAGCACTGACCTGTCAACCTGACAGAGGGAGAGGCGCTGCTTATCTTCTAAGTAGCTATTACCTGTTCATAAGGTTCTGGTTTGTTTAGCACAGAAGCAGGCAGCACGACTGGAAATACAGGCATGCACACACTCACAGCAGTGGGAGCACTGGGGTGGTGTTGACCATGACCATGTGATGGGAATATGGGAGGGGCTGACCTAAGACAGACAGTTGAACCCAAAGTCCCTGATGAGGGGAGGTTTGTGGGAACTGGCAGGACTCAGAAATAGGACATGATCTTCGTTCCTTGGGAAGAGGTGGGCTCCCGCCTTTTACCCTGGACCTTTGAGCATGCTTAAAGAAATGGCCAGGGGTGGACATCACATGGGGAGCAAAGGGGTGGGCAATGCATTTTGTAATTTATCAGGGTGTTGGATAACGACACACAAGGTATTTTTATTAACTCAGCTCACAGGTGACCCAAGGCAGGGAGGGAATAGCCAGATTATTTCAAATTGATCTCTGGGACCCAAGGACAAGGCGACTCTTGAAATAAAGTTTTTTAAAAAAACTGTGCACTTACTCTAGGATTTTGAACATTCTAGCACACAAAGTAAGGATGGGAAAGATCTAATTTGAAACAGTTCCTGTGAAAAATATCTATAGAGATGTTAGTCAATCGGACAAGGAATATGAAGGTAAAGGCACCGCTGGCCGCCAGAAGCTGTCTCAGCTCCCCAGCTCTAAGACAGACATTCCAAGTGCAGCTACGCCATCACTCCCTCGGCCCCATGGTCCCAGGGTCCTCTCAGAGTTCTCACAGGACCCCACTTACAATCCGGAGTAGTTACGTATGTGTCTATGGTAACTCCTCTCTGGATTGCATATGTTTTTGAGGACAGGCCAGTACATATTTTTCTTTATAGTCTCAGAACTCAGCAGAATGCCTGAGGAAGAATTGCTGGATTGAAATATTCCATTCCTTTGTTGAGATACACAAATACACCATATTTCAATGAGCTACAAAGCTAAAAACTTTCTAAATTCTTTTCATGTAACATAACATTTATGTTGGCATTTCACTGCTCAGTTCACAGGCAGAGGGAATTAACTGAAGTTCTCTGTATTTTCCCCATCTGACATTAAGCAATTTGATATTCAGATTAGTGCTTACAAATATCTGCTGACTAAACAAGTGAGGGAATGAATGAACAAATGAGTGAATGAATGGTTTGACCTCAACAAACAAGGGCAAGACTGCTGATGACTCCATTCCATTTTCTGAAGCTACTTGCCACACTAGTTAAAGTTTAGGCCTGAGGCATAAATATCTGAAGATGGTGAAGGGAATATTACTGGAAAAGTAGAAAAGAGGTTGGTTGATAAGCCAGTCTTAAGGTTTGTCTGAGAAAGTTTAATTGTGAATCAGATGAATGTTTTCATTTGAAAAAAAATCATCCAACACATTGCATGGTACATTCTGGAGTTCATAACATAGCAATAAGCCAAATTTTAATATGCACTTTCATTTGGAGGTAATTTAGATGTTTGAGATTAGTTATTTGAAATGTACGAAACCAACTGAATCACAGAAGCTGATTTTTAAAAAGTGCAGCATGTGTAATTCTGAGAAGTGGCTGATGCCTTTACATGTAAACGAGAGTTACGGAAGTTACTACCACGTCACAACGTCTCCGTCTTAGAGTCAGACAGAATCAGCTAAGCCGCTGCCTCACAGCATCTCAGCTCCGAGCTGCCCCGTGTAAGTCCTCCCCCCACGGCCAGGACCCAGACACTGACTGAGAGTCCAGTCAGGGCACAACGGGGCAGGATCGTTACAGTGAGTTCATGTGGTCATATCATGAAAGTGAGTGCAAGGGAAAAGGAGCTGGGGAAGCTGGTCAGAGAAGCAGATAAAAGGCACTACCTGACTTACATCTGTCAGGAAATCTTATTTTCTACAGAGAGATCTTCTACAGGGTCTATTAGAGCTGGTAAGGAAATGGGACCTCTTTAAATTGAAAGGAACTATTTCTCCTCCACTGGTACTGCTTCTTGACTGAAAGTAGAGGTGGGGAGTCTTTCGGTTGCCATTAAAGCCTCTGGCTTGCTCTCCTGTGTGAAGGAAACCACATTTTTCCTTCGAAAGCTCTTAATGTCAGGATTTAAATATAATTTGAATATTATATTCTTAGTTTAAAATGGGAAGGATTAACGTATGTCAAGTACACAGTGTTAACTTTTCAGACCGTAATACTTTGGTTAATCTTTGTCACATTTATTTTCTTCTCTTTATTAAGAAGGTATGAGTTCATTGTTTTTCTTTACCCATTCGTTAGATTCTTACTTTATGCAAGTGCTCATTTGGAAACCATTTCTACATTTAAATAGTATGCTGTCTGAATTAATTTCCTAATTATTAAAATTTGGAATGCACGCAGCTGAAATTTATTTGCTCAAGTGGAAATATGGCTGCTTTTAAATTATGGACAGTATTTACCATTCTGTGTCTATACTTGCAAATATTTACTTGCCACTTGTTACCAGATAGTACTCACCGACTCCAGCTAAAAAATGTTCTTCTAGTAAAGTAACTTCAGCAATGTAAACAAATCTCACAGTATTAAGATGAAAATTTTTGTCACGTGAGATTCTTTTGATGTGTTATTTCTTGTCACTTCCACTGCAGTTTTAATAACACTCTTATGATTTCCCCATGAATTTCAGTATACAACTTTACAGCAAATTTTTTCCACTGAATTTTTTGAATAAGACCATTTGATTTAAAGATTCACTCTATATCAGTAGACTTTTCATGCATGCTTCTATTTCTCATCACCACCATGATACATATATATGTATATATATATACATATATATACACTATGTGTGTGTGTGTGTATAAAATAAGTTGAGTGACTTTCATTTGGATAATCTCATAACAAAACTATGTATAAAAACTCTTAAATCAGATAAAAATCATAAACCAATTCACTAAAGGACTTCCTCAAAACTACACACTAATTCAGATCAACTGGAGAAGGAAGTTGAAGCTTTCAAGTGATATTCAGAACCACTGTTCTCTCCCTTGTCTCTGCAAACGTTACTGCTACCCTCAGGCAGACACCCTGGGTTACTCATTAGGACATGATGAGCACCAGTGTAGTATAGGGAACCATTCCGAATGGCATGGGGAATGTAGCCCAGCTCCCACTCAGAAAAGCCAGGGGGCAGCGAGGTCCGGCATACAGGACCCAGATAGGTTTTCCTGTGGGGAATCAGGATTGCATTGTGCTTAGGCTGCTTTAAAGCTTGCTTTTGCTAAAACTCCCTCACTCTGAGTTGAAACTGCAGACATTTAATGTATATCTCTGAAGCAACTCCCTAAAATCTGTGCTAAGCTGTTCCAAGGACAAAATGTTACCAGATCAACCACTTTTATTGTTTCCTTGCATTTGCAATATTTCTTTTCTCTTTTTGTTATCTGTAAGAAGTAATCACTTAAAAATAAACCTAAGGATAATGAATGAGAACTTTCTTTGATGTAAAGTGACTAGAAAGCAATAAAAGCTTGTCCAGGCAAGGGTCGAGGTGCTCTCCTCTTGAGAGAGTGGCCAAGGTGCTCTCTCTCTCAGAGAGTGGCTGTGCCATCCCTTTCTCTCCACAGGACTTCTGCAGTCTGTGTGAATTTGTTCATTGCATCCACAACACACAGACTCTGCGGGCCAGAGTCTGCCTCGGTATAGTGCATGTCACAGCCCATCTGTACTCCGGACACCTCTGTGCCCACCTCTGGGAGAGATAAGAGAAGTGACCTACCCCCTCCACAGGAGGCTGAGCACTCAGAGCGGATGGTGGCCCAGGTGTAGCTGGGCTGGGCACTGGACTTCTTCTCGCCCCCCAGCCGAGGCACCGAGTATTCCCAGGCAATGCCTGGGTTCCTTCCCTGAAGCAGCAGCTACAAAATAAGAAAGGGGGAAATACAGCTAAAGTAGAAACAAAACTATTTGATAATTTATTTTAAATTACCTGAAACAGTAACAATGTCAACAAAAAGTTATTACACTGATAAAATAAATACCGTCCATTCTTCACAAAACTTACATTAACTTTCTGAACAGGAATAAACGCCCAATTAGACTCAAACACACCTAGAAACTAGGTGTGTAGACACTCTGACTTGCTTGCTTTATGTTTAGTGTCTCCTCTACACATGGCTTCAGACGCCCCCCCAACCTTACAAACATATTTAGTTATTTCTTGCTTTCTCTGGGTGTTTCTTCAGGATTCCCTGAAAACGTTCTCTGTATGAGTAAATCAGAAAGTGACACCTAAAAAGTGCCATCACACTTCCTAGTAACAACCCAGGACACTAAAGTGAATCATGTATCTCACTGTCAAAGCTAAATCAGAGTACTTTCCACTTGACTGTTGGCAGGTACCCTGGAGTTCCAGGAGCAACCTGTCTCACTAGTCAGGGTGATCTCTCTGGCCCAGCATGTCTGTGAACCATGGTTTAACACATAAAATTGCATGTGAACTCTTCACCTTCTAGTGTGAAACCCAAACACATGGACCAGTCACCACCTTATTAGATGGTTGGGTTTTTTTTAAAGAACCATCATGATTAACCTGTTGTTAAACACCTCCATCTCCGAGCCTTGGAGCCTTTACTTGTCTTGATGTGATGTTTCAGTGGATAATGACACTGGCCCTTCCCTGACTCCTGGGAACCACAGTCCCCTCCCCGACAACACAGCTCATCTCAGTCACTGGACAGGTTGGTGGTGTCCTGGAGAGGTAGCTACTTCACAAGGCCATTGAGAAGCTCCCCTTCCGACACCCTGATCCTCTGCGACTCTTCTACAGGAATGGTTCCTGATAAGCTGAGCTCATTTTCAACCTGGACACATCTCTCTTTCTCTATGACTATTAAAGCTAACAGCCTGAGACAGCAGGAGAGAAATAATCAAATAAGAATGCAGGGTGAATAGGTTCACAACAGGGTGAAGGAAGTAGTTCAAGGTCAGGAGGGGAGATGGAGGTGGGATACCTGGAGATATGGCAGCTGTACCAGATGGAAGGAGCCTGCCAGATGCAGACATCAGGTGGCGACATCTGGGTACACTTAAAATTATACCATAGCCCTGGACCTACAGAACTTCCAGAAGATCCCCAAATCCAAGTCCCCAAACCATGAGGCTGTAGTCTACCTCCACAATCAGTGTTTCGTTGGTTGGCCCTGCAGAGGTCAAGCTCTCTGGCTCCCTGTATGACCGTCGGTAATCGAAAGCAGTGCCTGAAAACTTGTAGCGGCCGGGCCAGTCCACAGTCCAGTGTCCATTCAGGTAGTATGTTTTGAGGGCATTGCGCACAGCAATGTAGGAGGTAGATACGTTCATTTCATAGATGCGAATACTCCGGGCTCCAGGAGGAATGGTCACCATCTGATAATATTCTAGATTCAAGTAAACAGGAGGGGGCAGAATGAGGTATTTCATTCAAGTAGTCCTAGGCCAAATCTCTCAGCACCTTGGGTACTCCATAGCTACAGTGTGGGAATCCACATTTAGCAATGGGAGAGGATCTGTTTTGTCAATCGGTTATATTAGTCCTATAAATGACTTTTTAAAAATATTGAAACAGTTATTAAAACTTTCACTATTCCTAATGACCATTTCAATCAATTCAAATAATCTAGCAACCACTTGCAATCAAAGTAGGCAGGGAAGGAGGCAGCTGTGGGACCAGTCAGGAGTCTTAGCTCCTGCTGTGTTCACTGCACCTCAAGTTCTTTCCACGGAGGAGTTCCCGCTCCCATCCGGTCTCAGCCGGGGCCGGCGGCGGTGGCATACTCACGGTTGGTGCGGTGGTTCTTGGCATAGAGGCCCTTGTGTGTCGTGCAGTCTGAGTCATTCCCCTTGCACACACCACAAGAGTCTTCAACGGCATTGGATCCAAGGATGTTGTCACATCCGACTCTCTGGGATATTCATGAGGTCACATGTCATTCATGAAAGAAAAGATAACAGGAGCAAGGTCACAACCCTCAGTCAGCAAACCTCCTCCCCGCTAGAGCTGAAATTTCACCAACACAGGGAAGTTAACAAATATTTATTGGATACCCAATATGTGCACAGAAGGACTGCCATTCTACTATTCAGGTACAGAGCAGGAAAACTTAAACATAACCTGAATTCTTCAGCATTGCTACACAGCTGTTTCCTGAGCCCCGAATTATATCTATCTGGTTGTCATGGTGGAGAATTCAGACTGACATAAAGCACTTAGTACTAATGACAAGTAATGTGTCCTCACGAGGGTCCACTGGAATATGCCATGGTGCTTTTAAACCCTCTGTCCACTGGCAAAGTAGCACATGTCACGTGGAAATAATTCCCAGCAGTAAATTATGTAAAGGACATATTTGTTCACCCTCTTACAATTTTAGGAACTCTTTATAATTTGCATAATGCTTACTAGTTTTATAAATCCCAACAAAAGCATATAGTCTATAGATGTAAGAAAATATTTTCAGAAATGAAATAACTAATCCACAATCCCTTGCTTATAATCCTTTAAGGATGGATGCATTTCAGAAATTTTTGGATTTTAGGGAGGTAAATGATATATTATGCACATAACATGAAAGTCCCAGATGGGACTAGGAAAGCAGTGATATTGCTATGACAAAATGCTGGCGTCATTGTCATACTAAAGTGGGAACAAGGAAACTGACAGGCAGTCTCACAACAGTTCAGGGCAGGTTTTTGCCATCAAACAAATTCAGGTCATCTTATATTTTCCAGCCAAACAAACTTTCTATTTCACACCTTTTAGATTTCAGAATCACAAATAAGGGACTGCAACACTGTATCACTAAGAATACCAGAAAGTAATGAAATATTTAACAAATCAAGCAGTAATTAAGAAAAACAGGTCAAGATGAGCATTTTAAAGTTGAAAAAGATCTTAATAGAATCATCTACCTAATCTTCCACTTTACCACTATTGTACAACTTACAGAAAACTAGAACTAGGACCAAGGTCATCAGACTCCACAGAATAAGGATATTGAGTAACTTCTTCATGCCATGCATTTGATCTGGCCACGCCTTAATTTTTATAATATCATTCTTCTCATAATTTACTCCTGCACATGGCAACAAGCTCCAGGGGTAACGTTCACTGAGCCGCTCAGTGTTTCCCAGCCTGTCTCCCAAGTCCCTTTCCAATGAATGTTGAGACTGCCAGGCCTTCTGGAAACCCCTGCAACAGCTGCCGAGTGGCCTCTTGGTTCTGAGCTGTCCCTGCTTCATTTACTCTCCGTGCCATTGCCCAGCCACTTCATCTGATCCCATGAGTCCATTTGCTCCCAGTCCCAGTGCCTGATCTACATGGACACTGGGATCAAAACCCAACTCCTCATTCTGGCAGTGATTGTTCTTATGAGAGCCCATTCACCCCCCTCACCTCCCCCAGCCCCCCAACCCCTGCCTGACTTTCGGGTACTCTGATGACTGAGTCAGGTCCTACTCTGCCTGCTTACCCAACATCCCCCTTCCAACTCACCCTTTCAGATTTCGCTTGGAAGCTCTCTTCTCCAAGGAGCCCCGCAAATCTCCCAGATCCACATCTAAGAGAGAATGAGCTCTTCCCTTCTCCCTGTGCTCTGTACACACCTTCATTGCAACACATCACTGTGTGTCTCATTATGTGCACATCTGGCTTCTCCCCCACTGGGCTGTGACTTGGAGGAAAAGGGCTTGTTTTTTATCTGTTCTCTCTAGCTTCTCACAGGATGCCTGGCACAAAGCAGACTGTCTGGAGATGTTTGTTGAATGAATGAACGATCATTATTACCTCACATAGCCCATCTATACAAACATTACGGCTATCCTCCGAGCATGGAGTCCCATCTTTGACTTTATTTGACAAAGAAAAGAAGAAATCAAATCCTTCTGCGATACAGTAGAGTTTGCATAAGTCCTGATCTTAAAAAGAAATACACACACAAACACAAATAAGAAAAATACTTAAGCGCTGATCATTTTTGTTCTAAATTTTAGATAGATTTTTTTGCCCATAAAATAACTCCCACACAATAATACATTGCAAAAACATTTTTGTATGGTTGCTTCATTAGGCTTGTTTGTTTCCCTTTAATTTATTATTATTTAAATGTTCACTATTAATTTTTACTCTACTCTGTCCTTTATTAGTCTTTGTTCTTTACACAGTGGTTGGCACATAGTAGGCATACAATAAACATTTGTTGACTTAAACTACAACATTATTATTCACTATTCTACTAGTATAATTAACTACTCTCTTGTAGAAATGCAAAAAGTCATTGCCACTTTGAAACAATATGCAAAATTCTCACAAATAAAATGTAATATAAGAATTAAAGTAATCACTTAATTTTTTAATAGCTAATGCAATTGAAGAAATACAAAATATTTTTAAATTAACAAAGGGAATAACTTTTAGGTAAAATCTCCAAAAACAATGTTTTTTATAAATATAATGGGTTGTCAAAAATATGGATACATGGAGAATACGGGTATCGTTATGTAGTTAAGACTGGTAGATAAAGTTCACTTCTCTCAATAATCCACTTCAAGTGTTTATGATTTATATAGTTAAACTTTTGTAAAAACCATTTCCTTTTGTTTTCTTCTTGGTAAGAAGGGAACAGTTTATGATGAAAAATTAGTCTGCCTTAGGAGTTTATAGGCCAGAGTCTCATCTACAAATATTTTCTGTATTGTGCAAGACAAGAGACCAAACTGAATCAATTTAAGAATAAAATTTAGTATGTGCTCCCATGATTACTACATTTATTTACTGAAGACTAGCGAAGTCAGGAATAGTATACATATTTTTGACCCCAATTCAAAGTGCTTTCTACTTTTTTCTTCTGCTACTTGTTTCTCACTGGTTTAATTTTTACTGAGTTTAACAGTGAAAACACCACCAAAGGTATTTTTGTGAAACTGCTAACAATTTTCCTTCTATAATCTACTAACTTCATAAACTTCTCACTATGAAAATATTATATATAATCGGATGGAGAAAGTACATGTCACATAAGAAGGTCTAACTTATATATTTCCTGAGTGTTGTTTGGACAGTATTTACAATTTCAAAGAATAAGATGATTTGATGTTTTTTGAATTTATTCTTTTCTTGATTTTTTTTAAAAGATATTATTTATTTATTTTTAGATAGAGGAGAGGGGAGGAAGAGAGGGAGAGAAACATCAATGTGTGGTTGCCTCCCATGCCCCCTACTGGGGACCTGGCCTGCAACCCAGGCATGTACCCTGATTGGAAATCTAACCGGGGACACTTTGCTTCACATGCTGGTGCTCAATCCACGAGCCACATCAGTAGGTGAATTTATTCTTAAGTTATGCCACCTGAGCTACGAAGTTCAGTTATTATAGTCATAAGAATAATGCATATTTCTCTCCATCTGGAGAGTAAAATTCTACATATGGTACAAATAAACATCTGAGTTTATAGTTATAGATCAAGTCTTTCTGAATATAGTACACTTGAAAATTATCTGATTTTCTAAAAGATACTTAAATTTTTCTTTCGTTCTTTGGAAATGATAAGGGTTTAGTGGGTGACATGCTTAGAGCAATATCGCCATCAATTACTGGGCCTTGTAATTAAAAATAAACATTGATGCATTATCAATAAAAACATCTACTTTCAATTTTTTATCATTTCTCTGAAGATTTCATGGTATTATGTACTTATTTTCTATCTGGCTTGTTAATTTCTGACCACAGAGCTGGTTAAGTTTAGATTAAAATGCCAGTGGCCGTGTATCAAACTAACCCCAAAAAAGATTCTGTGACACGGACCCCACGTAGCAGTATCTGGTCTATCTGAACATTGCCCTGAGAACCATGTAGTTCTTTAAAGAGGAAAGATAACAAAGCAGGAGGCTGTCACTAGAGGGTGGGGTTGGGAGTTACCTTCGACTTGTGTGTAGGGCTTCCACTTGTAGTGCCACCCTCGGAACCGTTTGCCGTTGTATTCCGCACACTGCATGGCGCGGAAGTCAACGCTATTTTGGGGGCATTGCTGGCTGTTGCAAAGCTTCAGAGTGCGCGTGGAGCCCTCACAAAACTTCCCGCCATGCGATGGTCTGGAACACATATTTTGCCATTAGAAACCTTCCATCTTTTTTTTTTTTAAAGATTTTATTTATTTATTTTTAGAGAGGGAAGGGAGGGAGATAGAGAGAGAGAGACAGAGAAACTTCAATGTACTGTTGCTGGGGGTTATGGCCTGCAACCCAGGCATGTACCCTGGCTGGGAATCAAACCTGGGACACTTTGGTTCCCAGCCCGCGCTCAATCCACTGAGCTATGCCAGCCAGGGCTAAAACCTTCCATCTTAATAACCACTCACCTCTTCCTTCAAATTGAACTTACTGATAATGTTAAAGTACATACAGTGGTCAAACAAAAAAGGTGCATTCTTAGGAGCCGCTGGGACTTTCTTACATATTAACGACACGGGTAGTGTTTCCTTTTCTGTTGAGCACACTGTTTACCACAACGGCAGAGAGGTGTGAATCCGGAGAGCTGGTCTGTATGTAAATATTTGTTTATGGTTGCTTCCCAGCCTCCTGCTGCAGGACACAGGGTAAGCATTGCTGATCTCCAAATTCCATAAAGGAAGGGACAACAGCAGGAGGGCAGTGGCTGTCCCGGAATTATACAGTTGATAGAAAGCAGAACTGAGAATGAAACTGACTCCACTGCTTCTTTCCACTCCCAGCTTTCTGTGGCAAGGCCAGGATGCCAAATTGGGTCAGAAGAACCAGTCACCTTCCACTGGTTGGCACTGACGGCAAGTGTTCAATGCTCACCCCCCTGGCCCCTTGGAATTCGTGGGGACCACTAGGACGAGAGCATCCTGTCCACGAAAGAAACCTATTGGGCCACACACAGTAAGGACAGGGCTGAAATAATGGCAATATAACTTATGCCTTAAACAAATGGTGCAAAGGGAGGACTTCAAAATCCGTCAATCTACCACACTGCTGATCGCATTGAACATTCTTGCCATATAGCAGGAGGCCACAATTAAAACACATGTTGGAAAGGTAAAGACACTTGATAAAAAAACACAAATTTGTATTTTTTACATAAAATAATTCTTCTTCATTTGTGTTCTTTATACTTTTCTTATGATTTCTTTCTTTGTTTTAGGCAAGGCTTGGTATTTCAAGTAAATATGGTTTCTTGAAACCCAATTCTGCAATATCGCTGTTGGGTCTGCTATTTTTCACTATGGTCAGGTAGTTATAAGTATCTAGTGTCAAAGAAATATCCTTGTTCAGAACGTTTGAGGAAAAAGGCTTCCCTACTTAGTGTTTCTGGCAATAACAGGGGAAGTACAGAATGAGGATGACTGAGCTCAGGAACGGGAACTTTTTGGAAGGCCTGTGGAGGAGAGATGCTCACTTGTGAGTGGGGAAGTCGAGACTTGCTTACTTGGGATTAGTGCAGAGGCGGTCTCTGTGGGACACCCCTCCTCCGCAGGTCCTGGAGCATGGTGACCAGGGAGACCAGTCTGACCAATGACCATGGGTAGGCTTGGGGCCTTCGTCACCATATTTCACACACTGCCCTCCACGGCACCACTAAAAGTTAAAAAAAAATGTAGGTAAGACTCACAGAACGATATGTGGGTCATCGCTCTTACAATGCTCGGTCATGGGGCGTCTAGTACCATATGCGGACCTTAATGTCCCTAACCTCTAGTAGCACATCATACAGATATACGTCATGATGCTTCTTTAGTCTTTCCAAAACTAGCATTGTTCCATAAATCCATGTCAAGGAAAGATAAGTAGGGAAAACCCCGCCTGAGCTGCAGGAACTTAACACATTTAATTAAGTAGTGTTGCATGGACACTCAGCTCTCGAGTGAGTGGACGCTGACCTCTCCTGAAAACAATGTGCTTTTCATCCCTCATTTTCAGCACAGACTGAGTCTCAGGGGCAGAAATCCAGCTGGAGGTTCCATATGACTCAACACCTTGTCATTTCTGGCGGGTGGGCGCTGACTTTGCTCTAAAGCACCTGGACTCAGAGCTGGGAGGTCATAACTGATGCTCGTCAGAGGTCATGCAGCTTTTTGAGGAGATAATCCACACAGACCTCCTCTGTCCCTGGAGATATTATCAGCGCCCCTTTCTGAAGAGAAGTGCCCATCAATGCTAATTCATGCTAACATCTGCATGGTTTCTTCACATCCACCCCACATAAAGGCTACACAAGATCTCGAATTGTGTTCAGTGGCATTGTTTTTTTCTATTTATGGCTTGGTGTAGACCTGAGGTTCTTAAATATAGACCTAGGCCATCTGTTGAGAGGAGGCAAGTGAGTTCCTTGTCCCTTATCTCTGGCAGAGCCTGGCCTGTGGGCCAGGGGTGAGGCATGGGGCAATTTAGAGCTACCTTATTTGTTCTGAAGAAAAAAGGTATAGTGCTTTTATAAGAGGAAAGGAAGAATACTTCAACTATTAATGGATGTATTAGGTTAAATTATATATAAAATTATTGATGTTTGATCATTGTTGGCATGTAAAAGTGGCAATTTCAAATGGTTCAATTTAATATTACTTAAGAAAAATTAAGTTTAGAAAGATAAGTAAGTCTGAGAGCTAAAGCCTAAGCCATTCAATTATTTGATTCTTCCCTATAAGCAAAAACAAAAACAAAAAATTCTCTTCATCACCACCTTCCCTCACACCAGGTGACAAAACGAAGTCAAAGCCCCATCCCCTCTCAGCTCAATGAGGGGCGTGCAGCTGGGGAAGGATCTCCAAATTCTGCTCTGTGACTTTAACATTACTGCTCAGTGCTGGTTCTCTACCTGGGTTAACGGTGGTTAATGTTTCCTCTTCCTGAATAGATTCAGCTGTCACCTTTGTTTGTACCTCTATGTCTCTTTATTCCAGACAGCCCTTCAATTGTACCACTGAAAAAAGTGATAAAAGGAGTCCTCTTCACAATATCAGTATAAACACAATGGCATCACATGAGTGTAGGTCCGCACACATATGTGAGAAAGAAGGGCTTACAAACACCATTGCAAGAGGAGGAGAGAGGAATATGTTGAAAGACTGATGTCTAACAGTAATGCATGTCCCTATGATTGGTGTCTTACCATGTCATGCCCACAGATGGTGCCTTCTGCTGCTGGCATAAATTTAGTCTCACATTTCCTTCCAACCCGATGGCACCATAGGGCTTTACAGATATCCTACAAGGGAAAAAAAGGTCATCAGTCTTATGAATGGTCCATTATAACTAATTAATGAAAACTTTATGGGGAAACAACTGATACAAATTAAATCTGAGGTCTACTTAGCAACAGATGCACAGAAAGAGGGAGCACCCTGCAGACTCATGTCCTAGACTTGGTTCAGCTTAATTCCATCCCTGAAACTTTATTCGTTTTATTTACTATAAATTTCGCAAAATTATACTTTCTAAATTACGAAGTGCAATATCCTTAAGCCAGACACTGCAGACAATTACAAAAAATTAAAATTAACACAAGAAAAAATCTAACAATATATTATTGACTTCATCTTTCACTAACTTCTCCAAATCTGAATCCCTAATTTTCAAATTAAAGATGGTTATACAACTTGCTGGTTTGTCTGTTCATCCATCCATTCATCCATTCCCTATCCCCAAACCTTCAATAAAGGCCTGTGATATGCCAGGTAGGTAGGAGATTCTACAGGGAATATGAATCAGACCTGCCCTTTCAAGCTTGGTCTTACAGGGAGTGGTGAATTTGCTGAGAACTACTGTGTGGTGCATGTAAGAAGGGAAGAACGGTGAACACGGTGAAGGCGAACTTGCTGGAAGGACAGAGGGCTTTGCCCAGAGGCCTCAGCCGAGGAGTCAGAGGAGAAGTGAAGTCTGAGCCAACTCTTGAGCTCTAAGTTTTGTCAGGGGGGAAGGGTGGAACTTTTAAAGAAAATATTGAAAACTCAATATGTAAATATTTTCATGATGTAATAATTCACGATGCTTAAAATAAAATCAATACCTTTAAATACAGTTAGATGGTTTTACATTCTCTATCATGTAAAATTGTTCTTAATACAAATAAGCCTGATATATTTTGCTTTTACAAGTTAAATTCTATTTTTGTGGCCAGAATCTCTAATATGAATCTCAAAACTAGATATTATGCGACAATTAGATTTTTAAAAAAATTTCTGTGTGGACTGAATTGTCTCAGGACATTTTACATTTTATCAAAATGGTTCCATTTTGTTAGGCTGAACTGTAACGACCAGTAACTTTTCTGGTGGGGGAATATAAAAGAATAAAATAAGAAGCAAATTATGCAGCACCTCAGTCAATACCTGTCACAGAAGAGCCACTTAATTAAATTTGCTGAACAGGGTGGTGGATGGATAAATGATACTTTAGAAAGGGATGAACTTCTTTTAAATACCACATGCTATTTAGCTTCAAAAGTTAATATAAAGTGCAAATGTATCCTTCTTGTAAATAGATGGATGTGCATTTGGTGGATATGTCTATTTACATACTCATGCATAAACTCCCACAATTATATGGCCATTGTTTTCTCGAGTTACTGACAACTTACATATTGATAATCAGAATTAGTAATAAAAACACCCCAGGGAGTTGGGATGTAAGACACACAGGGCATGAGGAGAGCCCCCAGCTTAACAACAGAAGCCAGGACACTAAGGTGATCAAATTTCAAAGTAGCTCTGGCAGCTTGCATTTCAGACAGCAGAGTCAGCCCAACAGTAATGTTGAGGAAACAGAATAGGTACTTGATAAGGACAATGTTTATAAGAAACAACACCCAACTCAGGAAGCGAACAGTTTGAAGCCCAAATAGAGAATCCACTCTTGCTTTGTCTTTGATTTGTCTTTGCAGCTAAGGAATACTATCTTAATTAAGGTTCTCACTTGCTATTTTATCTCATAATTTAAGCAGTATGACTTGGTTCATTTTAACATCAGAACCTAATACCCCAAATAAAATAGTTCTCAAATGACTATATTGAAAGTTTATTGTGGTATTTCAATATTGCAAATAGAGTGACAACGGATTTATTTTCTTAAACTGTGTGTATTAGACTCTTCAAAATGTCCTGAGGTGATGTTATAATAGGGTATGTAATCTACTGCAATCATTTGTATCTACAGTAATAAAAGTCAGATCAATGGTGGTTCACTGGGGTGGAGAAGGGATTGAGTGGAGGGAGATAAAAGGGAACTTTCTGGCTTCATGGAATTATGCCATATCTTGCCTAGGATGCTGGTAACATGGGTGAGTGCATTTGTTAAAATTTCAGTCAAACACCTTAAATAAATACATTTCATTACATGCAAGTATTTCCCCAATAATAAAAAAAGTGCACACTAACTTCTTTTTTTCTATACTTTTCAAATGGCACTGGGGTATCATAGATGACATAGTCCATGGTCACAGAGCAAAGTAATGTGGGAACCAGAAGCATGTCTCTGGTTTGAAAGAAAACATTAGTTTTATGTTCTTTTTTTTTAACACAGAAGAGTAATGCTCAAAAAATTCCTGGGAAATTAACATTGTGCCCATGGAAATATACGCTGATGCTGGCTCATTTATTATTCTTGGTCCAAGCCGAGATGACTCAGCTGCGGAGATAAGAACCCAGTTCTGGCGCAGGGCTGTAACTGGTCTTGGTGGGAGCTGTGCTTGAGTTCAGGGGAAAGAAGATCATGTCAGATGTAAACTGGGAATACTCCCAGTGCACTCTGCAGTGTCTGGAGCTTTCTGGAGGATTATATATTTTTGTCTATCTTCCTGCTAATTCCATTATAAACTAGAATAAAAGAAACCTCAAAAGAGTTACTTTCATTTAATTTATGAGTAGGGCTCATTGGGGTTCAGTAGAGTAGATTCCTAAATCTCAATTTCCCTGTCCAGTAAGAACACACATCTTTGGGTTACATGAGGAATTTATATTAGGAGAACACACCAGTGATATCCCCGGGGTCCATGCTGTAGATAACATCTTCTATGAGAAACTTGTCTATAAATACTTTATTAGGAGAATTTAATAATCAGAAGCCCCTGATAAGCTGTTACTTTATAGTAAATTATGCTTATATGGGAGGAAGGTAATGGCAGACCTTGTTTTTTTAATACCATTCGAAAAAAATGTAGAGTATTAATTTGCCAACTTACACCATTGAAAGTGATTGCTGAGCTCCCACATGATAAATCAGAAAGCAAGAAGTGATCTAACAGGCCAAGTTGTTCTGAAACGAAAACTGATACCCACAACAGTATCAGTCATCATTTTCTTTGCCAGTAAAACATGTGTTTCCTGTTATACGGGACCAGCTCTAACATACAGGATTTGACATTTGGTAGGTACCCAATAAGTGCAGAATACATCAATGTCAGTTACACTGAATAAAATGGTTTTTATGAATAATAGTGCACTGAGCATTGGCCAATAATCACTTGCCTTCTTAAAATCCAGCATGCAGAGTTTGGCTTTCTCTCCAAATTGCCACTTGCACTGTGTGTTTGCATCATATAACTGTCCCGGCAATTTCTCAGGATACTTGTATTCTTTCACAGGCTTTGGCTGATCAGCAAGGCATGTCGCTTGAGCAGTGCTAGAACCAAAAGGAGATGGGCTGCTTGTAATGCCAAAAGAGTTGTCAAAGATATGTATTCAATTGTGCCATTTCTTCACAAGTGTTTACTACATATCCTATATAGAGGAGAGGGTATTTCTTCCCCCAAATGTCTAATATAACAATGATATTAGTTACATTTAAATATATGGGACACATTTCTGAAACCATTCATTTTTCTTTTTCCAGGAAGGCAATTTGTTTTTCCTCAGATTACTCAAATGTTTCACAGAGAAAAGTGAAATGGAGTAATACAACCAGATGTTCAGTGTGAGAAGCTCCTATTACAGGCCTTTTTTATGTACACTTTTTGCCAGGACTAATCAAAAGGTAGAAATGGGTATGGTAAAAGGCAAAATGCAATCTGCCAATTTCAAAGGTTAACATTTGTCTCTCTCCCTCTCTCTCTCTCTCTCTCGCGATCTCTCTCTCTCCCCCAACCTGTCTCCTGTTCTTTCTTCCTTCATCTCCCGGGCTAGGGACATGTGCACAACAGCTTACACCTTCCAGAGGTTATGCATTGAACACTACAATACTTTCCATCAGAGAAGGTCTTTACTCAGGATGATTTCTTACTAGACTTCCAAACAAGGAGGAAAAGAACTGCTTAAGTTTACTAGCAGATGGCTAAAGACCAACTAATAATTCCTTCCTCTACAAATACAGTATCCCCTCCCCTACCAGGGATGTACTTAGGTATAATTTTTGAATTTGCAGGGAGGAGGGCAAGTGTTTGCAAATAGCAACTAAATCCTACTTATAAATTTTAATAAGCTGAAAGAAAAAAAAACACAACCCTCCCCCATAATCACAGTAAATTGATCATCAGCAAATATGTTCATGCATCTCCAAACTTTTCTTTGTGTGACTGTGCACCTTGATTGGAATCTTTCTGGTTCCAGCTTCCAGGGCCCCAGTCCCAGGTTCCTCTGCCTTGGAGCCCACTGATCCATGACTTCAGTTAATGTCCACATACACAAAATGAGAGGGATGGTATCAGCCACTGTGCACAAGACATTGATCCTACATGCAAGGAGGTCAGAAGGCTTTTCGGAGCAAACTAAGAGGTAGAGATAAAGTCAACTGATAGGAAAGGGCTAAGAGTGGTGACTGGCTCACTGTGAGTGCCCAGCAAATGGTCTTTTACTTTTATTCCAATCATGATGCAAGAGCATATTTATAAGCAAAGAAAAATGAATAAAAGTATAATGAACACTGTAAGACAGGAGTGATTTGGAAAATTTCAAATTCCATAGCTCCTTTCTCTAATGGATCTCAAATGATTTCTGTATACTAGTTAGATGTCTTGCATTATCTCCCAAAGTTTACATCAGGGTTGGCAATATTATTCCCCATCCATGGACTGGAAACTAGGGAAAGTCAGCTACACTGACTCGCCCACATGAGAGTCTGAAAAATCACAAAGTGGTTCATACCTTCAGGAACTTTTCCAGTTTCTGCAGGCATCAGAAAACTGTTAGAGTAAAAATGACATAGGGATAAAAATTTCTAGAGCAAAGGGAGACACAGAACTGAACCAAACACCCAGTGCTATTTTTCTGCTCATAACAGGAATTTACTGAGTTACAAGCAGCTGCCAAGAAGCCAGGTGGCAGCGTGGAAAGTGGAAGTCAAGAGACTGAGAAACTGAGCAGTGTTTTTGGCAATCTGGTGGGGCTGGGACATGAACCGAGGGTCTGCTGTCAGGAAGGGCTCTGGTAACATCCAGGATTTTCACTGATACCGCAAGAGGTCTAAAGAAAACCTGAACAGGCCACTTTAGAAAGACTGGATGCCAGGCTGACATCAGCTCAATCCCGAAGTCAGTGAAGATAAACTGCAACAACTGTATCTGCTTAGAAATGAAAGATATTATTTTGTCTTTAAACTTCTCATATACTACAATGTCCTCATTTGTTCAAAATTACTAAGTGTATTAGGAGATAAGGCCAAATGATCGAAATCCAAGAGAATATATATACACAGAATAATGGCAGTCTCATGAGAAATTCAGATACTGGTGTAATAAAAAATAGAATTTGAAATTATTGTAATTAATAGATTCAAGAAAATAGAAAATGAAGAATTTCACCACAGAACTAATATATATATATAAAATACGCATGTGGTATACTGTAAAAAGTTCTAATATTTACAAAATTGGAATCCAAAAAAGAGAAGATAGAAGAGATAGAAGACAGGAAAAATGAGGCAGAATCAAGATTTATAAATAAAACGGACAAGAATATTCAAAAACTGATGGAACACAGCAAACTATAGATTTAAGCAGTTCTAAAATCCCAAGCAGAAAAGCACATATAAGTACATTATAGGAATTCTACAAAAAAACAAGAATCACAGAAAAATATCAAAAGCAATGAGAAATAAAAGTGGCATATGTATAACTTTCAAAAAAGCAACAACAAGACTGACAGCTATCTTGTTAACAGAAACAGCAGAGGCCGGGAAACAATGAAATGACAGCTTCCAGTTACTGGAGAAAGATAACTGCTGAACTAGGATCCTGTTCAAAACCAAAATGCCCTTTACAAAGAAGGATAAAATAAAGACACATGAAATATGCCACTAGGAAGGCCACAATAAAACAAACAAATAAACAAACAAAAAAGACAAACAACACGCTAATGGGAGTCGTTCAGACACAGAGGAAATGTTCTCAGATGGAAAATGGAAATGCTAGAAGTAGTAAAGAGCAATGCAAGGGTAATTAAGTTGGTCAACAAAGCCACAGAGAAAGCACTAGGCAGTGAGGCCAAGGTCTCTGCCTGGACAGCCTGGAAGATTCCCTCAGATGGAGAAGATGCAGGAACACACATATCAATGCCAGGACGAGACAGTGAGCTCAGATTAGCATCACATACAAAGAACTGAAACTTCATGTGCTGATCTCATCCCTTTTAAGTCTGGCTAGGCTCATGCTTGGGACTGTTGCTCTTGCCTTCTTGACCAAATCGTGTCACATAGCTAAGCCTGGAATCAATGAGGAAGGTGTAGGTGCAAGAAGGAAAAGCATGACAGACATTTTATAAACAATATGTGGCAATATCCACAATGAAAAAATGTGACTTTTTTGCATGTCTTGCACCAAAATCAGGTAGCTTAGATGTAAGAAATAAAACAATAACCAGTATAGGAGATTATGGGGAAGACTATGTGTATGACTTTGGGATAAGTAGAGTGTTTTTCCAGCAATGCACAAAAAAGGCTAATGCTAAAGGAAAATATGGATAATTTGGACTTCATTAAAAATTTTAAAAACTGCTCTGGCTGGGGTGGCTCAGTAGATTGAGCACTGGCCTGTGAACCAAAGGGTTCCGGGTTCTATTCCCAGTCAGGGCACATGCCTTGGTTGCCGGCCAGGTCCCCAGTATGGGTCACGTGAGAGGTAACCACACCTTGATGTTTCTCTCCCTCTCTTTCTCCCTTCCCCTGTCTCTAAAAATAAATAAATAAAATCTTTTAAAAAATTTTAAAAACTTGTGTTAAAGAGAAAAGGTAAGGTCAAAGATACCACAACAATATTTCAAAATCCTTTCGTGAACCATAAAATATTAAAGAGTTTGAAAGATCTTTTAGCTTTATTCCTTCCTTTTCCAAATAAAAATTTGAAGGCCCCCACTAAAGATTACATCACTTGCCAAGGCCAGGACCTTCCCAGGCGTAAGTGATAAAGACCCGATCAGCGTTCCAGCTGTGCTTCCCTCTGCTGCTCTTTCCATCACATGGTAGTACCTGTTTTCCAATCTTAATGTCACACAGGCTCTGTAGAAACTGCAATTTGCTGTGACTTGTCAGTTTGCTTTCCTTAAGACGAACATTTATATGGCAGGACAAAATGTGAACTGAAGTATACTATTGCTTTTATACCCAAAAGCAAAGCTTAATGAGCCCTCTGGTCAACTCAAATTTCCCCACTGGCAGAGGTGGAATAGGGTGTGGCAGGGGACCCATGCGGCCCTCAAACTTCCAGCTCTGTGATGGTCACCTTTCATATATATTGAGGTAGACTCTTGTGGTCAGAGGGGAGGCATGCTCAATGATCATTAGTATATGACTCAAGTTTTTTTTAATTGAAGATGAGTCCATGTTGTAGTTAAGTTTAAAATAATGAGCTAAATTTTCCCTAAGTCCCAGGCCTCTGGGATGCAGACATGAGTAAATGTGATGAGGTTTGCATCTGTTCATAGGACATGACACATTACTTTATTGACGAGGTTGATGAATGTACTCCAAACATATATCTGTCCTTCTTGACTCTACCAAATATGGAGAAAAGTTGTGCTGACAACCTCAGGCCAATTGACTGCCTTATTATAGGTTTTTTTCCATGTACCAATTGCTAATAAAAGAAATTGTTATTAAGAGTTCACCATTTATCCTTACTCACTATTGGGATCATATCCAAACAGCCACCTAAACTGGTAGAGAATGTAACAGTGTTTTGATTCCTTGGAAATCAGGAAGCCAGGAAGTATGACAAAGAAGACAGTCTCAGAGTCATTAAGCTGATGAAAAGTCAGTGTTAGCACATTGTGGACATGTCCAATTCACAGCTGGTCAAATAAACCTTTATAGTGAATTTGACAATGAAAGTCATTTTTGGAAAATTTAATCTTCTGAGAAAACAAACTTGTGAGCATGTAAAATCTTGCATATTTATTTATAATCATGTGATCCAAAGAAATTAGTAAAGTCCCTGAAAATAAAGGCTTATTACTGAATTGTGCCAGAAAGTTTTGACTGATTGCCACCAAAACAAATGAACATACTTCAGAGTTCATTTGAGTGTTTCAATAGCACAGAACAAAAGTGGCTTTGAATTCCAGAACCTTAATAATCATTCTGAAAATCATATTCTGATTTGAAGATTACAACCCATACTTAGTGTCATCAGAATAATTATTCTCTAAGCACATAAATATTTTCTTTCCATGAGTTTTTCTATATTTCTTGGCAGTTAAAACACTTTTTCTGGACACTGTTATGAGGCTGATTTTCACCACACACTTGAACTTTGCATCGCCTGTTTCCCAAGTTGTCAGAGTACATTTAAAAATTGAAATGTTTATATATCTTCATCATAACTATGAAGATGTAAAAGCAATATAATTTTTAAAAAGAATCTAGAAATTATAGAAAGAATTTGAGATATAGGAAATTCCAAATGGTTAAAACTTGTGTTAAAGAAAAAAAGGCAAGGTCAAAGATACCACAACAATATTTCAAAATCCTTTCATGAACCATAAAATATTAAAGAGTTTGAGAGATCTTTTGGCTTTATTCCTTCCTTTTCCAAATAAAAATTTGAAGGCCCCCAAATTTGGAACTTTCTTCTTAATATAAGTAAGAACACTGTAAGCCGTAAAGTGAATGCTCTTTACCATAGGAAGCAGAATTCCTTGCACACACATACACATGCTGAACAGCTACAAGGAACAGCTAAAAACAATGCTAACAATCCCCAACTTGACTTCACAAGTGAAGGAAACAATGCATGTTAAAAGGATGCCACGTGTCATGCCACTTGTAGAATAATGTTAATGTCACCTTTTTTGATAATAGAAATAGAAAAAATGCCAAGCAGTCCCAGTATATGGGCTTGTATTACTAGGATATAGATATTGTCCACAAAATTTTCCCTCTTCCTTGATGATAGGAAACATGAAAAGCAGCCACCAGTCAATATTTTGCCTGAGGTCTCAGAGTAGGCCTATGAGGAAGCACAAGCGGAAGGCTGGAGTCCCTGCGGGCTGGTGGGCAGGATGCTGGTTTGGAAAATGCGTTACAAGGAGAACTGAAGAAAGAGGCAACAATCAAGGTAAACCCATGTAGCCTCACTGACACAGGTGGGCCTGGGGGAGCAGTCCACAAGATGATGGACAACAAACGAGAGTAAAACTGACCCTGCCCAAATGGTGTTCTAGCAACAAGACGATGTAAATTGTGCTACAGAAAAAAAAAGCAAGGAAAGGAGCTCTACTAAAAAACTAAGAAAGAGAGAGAGAGAAAGAGAAAGAAAACTTGCACCCCAAAGTGAAGACCTCAGTGGAACTAGACACATAGGCCAGGGTAACTCTGAATGGTATCTATAGGAGATAATGGGGATGATATACTTTTGTAGTTAATTTTTGGAATGGAGTAACTAGTTCTTAGTTTTGACCACAAGAACATATAAGTTACAAAGACTTGGAAGACAGCTATCTGGCTGCTAATCTTGCACTTCTTGGGTACTGCCCACCTGTTTTTTTCTCCCATCAACTCTGGTTGAGCCAGTGCAGGTCATGAGCCCCGCAGCTGCCTCTCCATGCTGTGCTATTTAATCGCTGGCACCATGTTGTGGCAAACCAGTAAAAGTGTTCCTGGAGCCTGTGTAGACTAGCCCAGGATGGAAAATACATAGAAACATTTTTTATAAACGCATGCATATATATAAATCTATAGTTATGTTTATACACGTACATACACATGTGCAGTTCTATTTCTTTTTAAAATTCTATGCTGGTAAAAGCTTTGCTTTCTTTGAAATATTGGTATTTGCCTTATTTTTTGTTAATATGAACATATTATTTCTCCTTTTTGTTGCTTTGGTTTCTATAAATATCCTAGACTGAGTTTAAGCTTCAATACCACAGATACAGGTTTTTCTTTAGGGTCTATGTAATTGTGTGTTTTTCCCTTGATTTTCATTTTTTTTATTTTCATTTGATTTTTTTCTTCACTTGACTTTGAGATCTGCTAATTTTTTGGTGCCAATCTATTCCAGTTTCTTAAGGTAAAGTGGTTTCTTTTGTTAGCTTTGTCTAAGAATATACAATTGAAATGAAAGTTATAATTCTTATACTTTCTTTGGAATCTCAGAAATGTGAATGCATTTCACTGAGAACTACTAGAATCAGTAGATTATTGTGAATTACTGAGTTGTTAGCAAACAAACACAATTCTCTTGTGTTGGGTAAAATATATTTCTAATGAATAAGCATGTCTTTCATCCTGAATAAAAGCATTTTTCTTTCCTGGGGCCAAAAAAACAATAATGTTCCCATTTCAGGTGTGTCCTCCATGAGGAACAAAGATATCAAACCATAGACTGTGCCAAGTATCACCATTTGGTCCCAGAAGAATGTATTCAGAAGGGAAGAAAATGGATGTTGAGATGTTTAGATGGATTCAGCACCTAAATTTGTATGCCCATGTATTCAGTTGTCTATGTTGATTATCAAAAAGAAGTCATCCTCAAAGAGTTAAGAGCTACTTTCTAAACAAACAAAAATTCTCCTTCATCTTTATAGAATTTGAGCCAAGTAATTTTGTTAAGTGACTACATACATAAAATATATAATTTCAACAAAATTGCTTTTCCTCGGCTCTTTGCATCTATGGTTCTTGGGAACAGAGGAAGGAAGTCAGGTCTAGGGTACAGAATACCTGGGTTCTGTTCTCAATTCTGCCACCAACTAACTGGTCCCTGCAGGTCTCAGTTCTCTTGTAATGTCATCTGGGGTTTGATGATATAGCACATGTCCCTTGCTCTGCCAACCCTCTTGTACTTTTCTGCCAGAGCAAAAAGTTAGACATCTCTCAGCCCCACTTCACTTTGGAGGACCATAAATTGAGTTCTCGCTTCCAAAAATATATCCCCTTTCCCATACACCTGCCACTGCTCTCTTTCCACAGCCACCTTCTGGATGCTGTGGATGACAAGTTACTAGAAGAGGAAAGAACCACAGGGTAGAATGAACTTGGGCTTCTGAATGACTACTTGGAACAGAAATCTCACCAACCTGTGCTGGTATGTGGTGCAAGTCATAAAGAGTTATGGTTTAAAGCTTAAGTGAAACTGTAAATTCAAAGCCATTGAGATTTAGGGGATAATCTACTTTACCAGCAGATCTAAGAAAGTTTCTTGAAGTCTCTTCTTTCTCTAAAACTTTAAAATCTACTGACTATATCTCAGGGGGTCAAATCCTACTTTCCCAGTGTTCTATACTATACCCTAAATAAATTAGTACTATAGTCAAATTCCTAAAAATAACTCCTGAAATTATGGTATTTTATAGCCAGCTTAAGGTTTATAGATTCAAGATTTTTTTCCTATTAAGAAATGAATGTTGTTAAAAATAAACAGAAAAATTAGGTATGCTTTACCAATTTGTGCACAGACATATACATGCTACCTCTTCCTATTCATGAACATGGCTAGTTGTAGACAGGAGAATTTAGAAAAACTAAATGCAGACACAAAATTTTGGCTTGGTGAATATCATATGGACTTCCTTTGATTTTAAATGTCATGTGATGTTGGATGAAGCTTACAGGCCTCCATGCTTTAAGAAGTGTTTGGCAAACTCCTTAGTCAAATGAGTGTCTTAAAACACCTTCAAATGGGAACCGTCTTGGGAAGTCACACCCAGGCTTGGCACTGCTTGCGTACGATCAGGCTAACCAGGCACTGAACATCAAAAGCACCAACAGATACACAACCAGCTCTAAAAGTTCATACCTTAAAAATTTGTGCAGGTACTGGCGGCTGCAGGGTGACCAAGAGAAGACCCCATTGCGTCCTGCTAATGTAGGAGACATTATGTTGCCCTCAGACTTCTTGCACATGTTCCCTTCTCCATCATGGACCATGCCAAAGCTACAAGAGAGAGAGAAGTGGTTCTTTCAAAACAAAGAAGAGTTTAAATTGTCTAATGTGCTATAACAAACACATATTAACACTATAGAGACTCCTCTACTTTGTGTGCTGGTCCTGCAGAAATTATAGCATCAACAGTGAAATTGTGGCGACCAGTCATGTGTTCATAGACTTTTCCTGAAAAACCATCATTCACTGAGTTGTTTGAAAGTACACACAAATATGAATACAGAGCACTGCCCAGATGTCTGCTAATAACAGATGCTTTCATTAGAAAAGAGCATTTCAAATATCATGTGGAGAGCCGCTCACTTGATCGCGCAGCAGAGCTGTAACTGTTCTATAGTCCTTCATTTCCTCTACAATCTCTTCTGCTCACCAGCAATTGTCAGAATTTCCAGTGTTTGTCGGAAATACAGATGACAGACTCCCCAGGTGTGTTTGATACCCAACACAATTTGAGAACTACTAGCCAACTGCTGTAACTCTTGGTGGTGCTGACATTTTGTCCCTACACTTACCCGGTACTGCCCCATCTCAGTATCGGTCTGCACTGCCAGAGGCTGCGACAGCTGGACAGTGCTTGGCCAGACTACCAGACTACTCCCCACAGCCCTTTTGAGGAAGTGGCTCCATGGAACCTCAATGAGTCGCTGTGGTTGCACTTATCTGTGGGCCTTGTTTGAAAGTAAACCTGTTGCTCTTGATTTAAATAAGTAACTTTGGGGCTTCAGCTCTAGCTTAGTAAGAGGGGACATCTCAAGCTATAGTGGCTGTGGAAACTCTTAATATGTTTCTTTACAGGTGTTTAAATCTTACAATGACAACCAGCACCCCATTACTGTCACTTGTGTAGCTCTGGTCCCAGGAGAATCCCACTGACTGAGTTTCTATTTCCCCTCATCAAGTAATTCTTAACTTTCTAAAGATTTTGCCAACTTCACCTGCCCCAGAGGAGCACAACTTGGGAAGAAAGTTCTCCCTTGGAGAGAAAGCAAGGGGGTTTGGTAGGCACTTTGTAGAGCCCAGAAGGCTTCCTGTTAGGGTAAAAACACTTTTAGAGAGTCAACCCATTGTTGGTCATTAATGTCTGATACCCATCCAATCATAACATGGATTCACAGAGAATAAGGTTTTGAATGAGTGGGACACAGAGGAAAGGAGAAAGGCAGGGGAAAAAGAGAGAAAAACAGATGAACAAGGTGGTTACTTGGATCTGCATCCAAGAATCCCATGATGAGTGGAGGGAGAGGCACAGGCATAGGGACAGAAGACACCAGCCCTGGGTGAGTGGGATCCAAAAGGTAGCCAGAGAATCTGTACTTGTTTCCAAGGCTAAAGATACATTTTCTTACTTTCCTATTTTGCCCATAATTATTTAATAATATCAGTAAAAATATCAACTGATATTTGTAAGCACTCACCATTTTATAGACAGAACATTAAGCATGCTACCTAGCTTTTTAAATGCAAACCACACTACAAGCCTATAAAGCAGGTGTAATATAATGACAGGAAGGCTGAGGACTTGAGAGGCTTGTCCAGGGTCTCAGAGTCACTACCGGAACCTGACATTCTAATGCCAGGGCCCAGGCAGGACCCATGCAATAGTGTAACCCAAACATAGTGAAGGGTGTATCCAAGCAATTCTGGTATGCAAACATTGTTCAATTTCTGCAGAATTCCTACTCAAGACCAAGGGTGATGTATATGTAGTCATTTCAGCCTCCACCCATTCTCTGAAGTCTATTAAAAGCAAGCAATCAAGGCCAGAGTAACCATATGGCAGAGAAAATGTGTCATGACTATGGAAAAGGTTCAGACTATAATCACATATGGGTGGCTGCCTTGGGGAGAAAGTGACCAAAAGGAAATACCAACACACTAGTCCTTGACCTGATATGGCAAAGGCACATTATGGACTATCAAGTGCCCTAGATAAATTTGTTACCACTTTGGACTGCATTTCTAAGAAATTGAAAGTCACAACATTCCAAGACTGGCAAAATCTTGGTCTTAAACTTTGCATTTAATGTATTTTCAATGATCCCTTAAGCATTTGGTTCAAACTTTGCTGTGCATCCAAATATCTGAGAAACTCACTGTACAATGTGGCTATGCAAAGCCCACCCTGATAGGTTTCTGATTTTGCAGGCTGGGGGTTAGACTCTGGCATCTGGGTGTACTGTAACCCAGTAAGGTAATTCTGACACCCACCCAAATCTCAGCACTACTATTTTAAGAGTTGTGTTTCCAGTAGTACAACGCCCATAAATTGTACTGTGATGGATGCCTGCATATTAGCATGAAAGTGCCACAATGATCACATTTGATATTAACATCAATATAGTAATGGAAGAATGAATAGAATACATTCTGAAGATAAGGTTGGTATTTGGCAATCCAGAAATATAATTAATATTCAAGTTATAAGTGGTAGATAATATTTTGCGTCCATTAACCATAGTACTTTATTCAAAGTGACTATCACTGCATATGTTAATGGAATAAATATATATTTTTTCTTTCTTACCTACTATCTAATACATTTCTGAAAAACCAAGATTCTTGTTATCTGTGCTCATAACTCCTGAGTCAGTGGACTCCCTAGCCCATAGCAGGTTCTCCATTCAAGTTTATTGAGTGAATAAAGAACAATCTTCCAGCTATACTACTGACTCAAATACCCAAATATAAACATAACTTCAGAATGAATTGGGCTGGAGAATTATGTTCAATGTCAGGTGCTTTTAATGACTTCTACAATACTTACCTCTGTGATTCAATTACATAAATAACTATTTCTTCATTATTAATAACATACCCAGGTGAACAGCCACATACATTTAAATATCGATTATTTCAGGCTGTTTAGATAGCAGGGATTAATGAAATGAGAAACTCTCTAAGGAAACCATGGGTCAATGTAATATGGATAATAAATCACACCCTTGGCCTGATGGTAACCACTGCTAGGACCTAGATCTCCAGAGCTCCGATGCAGGTTTTTTAAGAAAACCATTTCATAAATGGTTTGACTTCGGGCAAATTACTTAAGTCTCTGAGTCTCAGTTTCTTCACTTATAAAATGGGATAAAAGAACTGTCCTCATTGATTTCAAAACTTCTATTTGTTTCTCTCATTGAAATGGTTTTGGTCAAATCACTTAATACCTAGATGCTGTTTGTATATACATAATGAGTTTGTGCGTGTGTTTGTATGTGTGGGTTTGGCCAAAGGTCAATGGGTTTCAAATACGTTTTGGACACCGGAACAAACAAATAATTTTAAGAGAAATGACAATAAATAAATTTGGTAAGAATTCTAATTTCTTACCAAATTAGGTATAAACTCTAATTTATTACCAATTATGTAAGAACTCTAATTTCTGGGGTTCCTTTGGAGAGCAGTCCGACAATCATCAGACCGATGATCTTCATGGTCTAGGACTGCCCTGATATTTTACAAATCCTTCAGATTACCCAGTACCCCCAACCCAGCTGGAGAGGTCCAGGTTAATGATAGAGCACAGCCACAAAGTGGCGGGGTGTACATATCACTATCAGATGCTCAAAAGGCACCTAACCTCATTACCAGCTTGAGGTGAATGGTACTAGCAAGCCAATTCTGCTTCTTTCAAGAAGACTTACCTGATTTACCTGACTGTGTCTCTTGCAATGTCTATAGCCCTCACTCTTGTTCCCTTTTGTGCCATGTTTATTTTATCTTTCTGTTAGACATTGGGAGGGAATGAACTGCCAGTCCTTTTTAGAATCCTACACAGTGCTTTGCTGGCAGAATGCAAATTGTGACCAGAGAATAGATATATAAATGTTGGAAGATAGGAGAAAAATGATAGATCGTGCATACTTTTGAGCACAGTAATGTGTTTTAATTTGGTCTTAATGGTCTGAAATGACGATGCAAATTAAATATTTTAGCATATTGTGTATAATAGGGATGTTCAGTTCAAATGATACCACTGTAATTGTGTCTGCACACACCTGCTGAGGATCTCACAGGCTCCACTTGTTTTGCAGATGGGAAGCTAGGTAAGGACAGGCAATTGACCCCAGTCAACACAGGCTGTGGGAGAACCGCAATGTATCCAAGTCCCATGGCATTGCCCATTAAATGGCATGACTTTTCTTTGCAAGTGGGAATTTTCAAATCGATGACATATTATCCAAAATGTGTAATTCAGTTCTCAACATGCATTTCCCAATTCTCCAAAACTTGCATGTAGCAAACAACATGTCTTGTGTCATGTTATTTAATATTACCAGGAAAGTCTCTCTGCCCCACCAGCTTAAGATCAATCCTGACTCAGTCCCACATACAAACAAAGAACACACATCCTTGCTTCTGGTTCCAGTCTTTCTCCCTTCCTTTTCCAACCAAATCTAAATGCTGGTTCTTAGCAATTTCTATTTTCAGGTCACACTCTCCAGTATAAACCACAAGATGTTCTGAGACGAGAACAACTAAATTCAGTAGAATAAATTGGCTAAACATTAACTGAAATCTTTTTTTGAGTTAAAAGTTAGAAAATCTATGGCTGAAAACATGGGGAAACACTCCTCCACCCTAAAACAATATCCTCTGAATGCAAATGAAACTGAAGAGATAAAAGTCACCTGTGAACATGATGCTTTTTATACAGACTTAATAGATCTAAAATTGTCTTTTAATTCTTAAGGTACCAAACTCTAAAATTGACTCTGCTTGGAGTTCATTGCCAAGGATAAGATAAAGATATGCTGTGTGTGTTATGATGTTTGACTCATATATCAAACCCATAGTCCCTTCTTCAAGAACAATAGTTATTAAATAAATGAACTGAATAAATGTGCTTGTCTTCAATTCAAGTAAAATTCACAGCATTTGATTATTGAGTGTCCTATACCACAGACTCTCCTATTTAGTATACTTTGAAATACTCTACATTTGTTCACTTTCTCACTCCCCATCTTGCCCTCCCATTCTATTCATGCGCATTTGCTGAATACTCAGTATAGTCTACCTGCTAAGTCAGTGAAGGAAAATGAGAGGTTGTTCTGAGTGGTTTCTATGGCTTGAGATACATGAGAAATTGCTTTTCACATTTATAAAAAGGGCTCCATAAAGAGAAGATATTAAATTTATCATCATCATCATCATCATCATTATTATTATTATTACTATTATTACCCATTTTGGCATTTAGCACCTGCAATTCATTTGAAAATATTTTACATAAATTTCCTATTTCAATAGGATCAGAAGCTATTTCATTGGCACATTAATTTTCAGACTTCCCAGTTCCTCCATCTCTTGCACAATGACCTCTAACATCAGGTGCTCAATAAGCAGTTGATAATTCTCTGAAGGTTAATTCTATAACCTTCAGAGAAGGGGAGCGGGATTTCCCTTCATCCAAATCTAGAGCTCCTTTCCTTCGTCCCTTCTATATTCTCACTTGCAAGTACAAACACTTATCTCTTGTTTAGAAGAAATTCTTTTTTCACCTAGACCCAGCCCAAGCGATAAAAGGAAATATTACTAGTCGACTGAGAGAATATAAAACACTGATAGTTGTTGGTATTGAAGACCGAGAGCCCAGTTTTGAATGTATCAAGTTTAATTTCGGTTAAATTCACCACCTGCGACTGTGAGCACTGCCAATGCCTGTATCTCAACTGCTTATCTAATGTCGATTTGCTCAGCCCCCAGTGACCTAAATATTTCTTACCTTGATTGTTTAATTAAATTCAGGTATGGTTCAGAGGACAGCAAGAATACCATGTCGTTAAAATAATGAGAGTTTTTGAAGTTTTAACTTTAGTAGTCTATTAAAAATACAATTATGATGTAACTGAAAGCTTTATGAAGTATAGGTGCAATTTTCTGGGCACTGAGAAAGTCAATCATTACCTGTAGTGCTGAGGGATCAGTAATGGGATATACAGTTTCATTTTCAGGTCACCGGTTCACACACAGCTCAAGTCTGCAGGGCCTCCATGGGATTGGCTCCATTACACACAAAGGCCCACATGTGAACACACACACACACACACACACACACATGCACGCATATACATGTGCTTTGGTTGGGGTGACAAGAATGATCTCAGTCCACTTTCTACATAGGGGATAGAGACCAAATCACAAATACCGCCTTTCTCAAGTTTGTGATTTTGCAAGTAAAATGGGGGTTTAAATAAAAATTAGAAAAAATATAATTCCTGGTTGTGCATTTTCTAGGTGAAGTTTCAAGTACAGCTGCAGTATAGCAGGAAAATACCTACATGACCACTGTTGGTGTTCAAATTAATCAGGGCAACTGTAGGAAGTTAGCAAGTGGGCTCATCAAAAAAAGTAATAAATGTGCCACAAGGTAAGGCAGCTTACTACATTATTAGCCCAAGAAACCTTATCTACGTTTCTATAAGTAATTGATAGAAATTTTTCATTTTACAGGAACAAATGTAAACTTTTCACATAAAAAGATACCACTAACGACAAGCCATCCATTGCTGAGAGCTGCTTGTCTAGCACCAGCATCTGTCTGTGCTAAACCACCAGGCTCATTGCCTACCCTAATACCGCTCCATTTCAAAACCAGCAACCCTGGGGAGCAAATCATCTATTACTGGCCAAATCTCCTGTAGTACTCTGCACTCCCCAAACTCTGCTCAGCACACCAATCAAAAAAACACCTCCCCAGCCTCTAAAAGCCATATAAGGACACAAATGCAAGAATAAGAAGTTAACAGTAGGAGGGCTTGTTCCTACCCTCACTCATCTGGAGTACCCCAACAGGAGCTAACCATGGAATGAGATTAGCTCCCAGGACAGAGGATCAGGGCTGATCCGAGTGTCTGCAACTGTATGTGCATGTGTGAGGAGGAATGTATGGAAAGAACAGAGTAAGGAAAGTGTAAACACATGTATTGATTGTGCAGAATGAGGCACTAAAATAAAAACAAAAGAAGTGCCTAAGTGATCATATTTACTATTTCTCAATGACATTCTCCTTAGATATATGTGAATTCCCCTTACAGACTTGACCTAATGAAATCATGGAATCAGTAATTTCACAGCAACCACCAAGAATGGAAAGGACCCTGGGCTACACCCACCCATGGACATGCACTTACTTGTGTCCAGACTCATGAGCGATGGTGAAAGCCAGTCCAAGACCTGTATCTTCATTAATTGTACAGCTTCGGTATTTACTACACATTCCACTTATGGGGGCAAACCCTACAGGCAAAAAGGCCAAATGAATATTCAGCAGTTTGTAATGAAATATAAAAAAAAACAGGGTGTATTATAGAGGCCTCTTTACCCTCCATCCTTTAGGGAAATTTGGTTCTCATCCTCATCATGCTGAAATGCTTGGACAGTCACAGAAAGGGCTGTTAACCACGTGGGAGGAGGGGATCTGTTCTCTCAGCATGGAAACTATTTGGAGCTCTATGAAATGTGCCTGTCACAGGTTATGACTTGGACACAGTAGAAGAGGCATTTCACTGCAGATGGAGAGGAATTTATGCTTTTTTCCATAAACATCTGTGTTCACAACAGATGGAGTAAAAGTGCTATAGGAATGGGTGTGTCAGGAAGTCCCAAGACCACCCCTGGTTCAAGAATTTGCCTGGAGGACTCGCAGGCTCAGACTTTTTTATACTCATGGGTATAAATTAATATGGCAAAACAATAGAGAAAAATTAGCAAAGGGAACAAGTACTATACATGGGAAGAAGTTTGGGGGAACAGGAATGAGCTTCCAGAGCTCTCTCTTCCAGTAAAACGACACGGGGCATGCTTAATTCCCCCCGGAACATGTATCGACAACAAGTGTAGACTGTTGTCCACCAGGGAAGCTCATTAGAGCCTCAGGGCCCAGGGGTTTTATTGGGGGCCAATCATACAAGCACCCTCTGCTTGACACGGAACCACATTCCAGACTCCCAGGAGGAAAGCAGGTGTTCCACGTAAATTGTACTATTTGTACAATTAGTGTTTGATTGTCTTACATTTTCAGCATAGTAAGCCACTCTTATTAGGGAGAATGGTGAAAATCTTCTTGAAATCTAAGTTCGCAGAAGCCAGCTAAGGGCTATCCTTGTAAGCAGGCCTTCCTAAATACAAGCAGTAAGTTTACCCTACATTAAACTCAGTCCTATCTGAATGCTTTTATAACAAAGGATCTTCCTCCCTCAGGTTCTGGGGGAAAATGTCCAGGAGAGCCCTGGTCAGTGGCACACTAGGCTTTACAATAAGTGTTTGGAAAAAAATGTCAAAGTGATGCCTCTGAGATCTACTCAGCCTTATAAACATGCAAAAAGTGCTATGATTGAGACATTTTCAGAGAAATTTTAAGAACTGGGAATATGACACAGTTGTAGTATCTCTATAATACTCATAAATATACCATTTCTGCCACATACTGAGACATCCTTGATTCTACTGACCCCGTTCTCCCAGACAGAAGAAATGAAAGAAATTATTTCTTAAATTAGAAGAGTCAGGGACTCTTGAATCTGTGAGAAATGTTCCCTTGTGAAATGATCAATTTTGACAAATAAGTGCATACTCCTATGTTTGGTCAAATTTCATACACAGATGCAAATTTCTTCTTTCCAACTGCACACAGCAGCGGCTACTGCTTATAGATTTGGAATGAGTGTTTGGAAAAACACTCAATATATAAGAGCACAGAAGGCACATAGCACATGCATGGTCCTCAAAACTCTGCTGGACGATCTTACCCAAAGTATCACAGGGCTCATTCTTCCAGGAACATATGTCCAGACCAGTTAGTAAGATGGCGTGGTCATGGCGACTTCCATCTTTCCCCATCAATCCTGACTGCCACTGGCAGAAGCTGCTTAAAGTGTGGTCCGCGTGATGGTTTATCATAAGCCCTGGCTATGCAAGAGAGACCAAGACAACCACGATAACAGAAAGAAAACAAGGTATAATGCAATTGTTACCAACACTGGCATCACAGCAAGCTTTCATTAATTCAGATTTCAAATACATAGATGGATGCAAATGGCACATATGTGATTTTACCCATTTTATGCATTAAAATACAAAATGTGTGTTACATAAAAAATGCAGACTCAGTGTGGACACTTACGTTCATTTCTCTAGTTGTGTGCCAAAACAGTTGGGATGTGTTTAGCTGACCCTGAATGCAATTTCAGTGATCCAAGAAAGATTATTTCTCTGTATAAAGTTTTTGCATTTAAAATCTTCAAAAACAATTTGCAATATTACATAAGACAACAGGACCATTTGTATGTGACTAAACACATATAAAAATCACACCTAATCATTGAATGTTTATTTCATTACCAAGTTGAGCAAGGGAATTTGCAGCTTCTAGCCCTTTTACTATTTACTACTGCAGTGTTAAATTAAGTCACTACAGAGGCAACATATTTATGAGAAGAGGCAGGTCAATTTGGATCGCTTTATTTCTAGAAAATAGACTGGAACTAGAAGGAAACTAGATAGGAGACATTCAACCATATTCACATATACCAAGTTCTAATAAAGCAACAGTGAAATATCGGAAGAACATGTGAACTCTTGGGAAATGGGGAATTTGGGGGTGGAAGGCACATCCAGCAGAGCAGGCTGCAATGAGTTGTTTGAACCTTATTTATAGGACTGCTATATTTCCCTAGGATGGTCAGAGAAAATCTGATTAAATACCTCAATTTTAGGACAACTAGTTTCATGACTAGAGTGCCGTGTTGGAATTTTTGTCCCTCAGTCACACAGTATGTTTTCTCTGTACAAGTTTTTGTCTTTCCAGAAAGTCAAATACACCTGAGCTAGATGTTGTACATCAAAAATGGGACATGCCTTCCATTCTGCAGCAGGTGATTTCCAGGAAAAACTTCATTAATTAAAGTTAACACAGGTGTACGATCACAAGATAACCTCACCTATTCTTTGCAGCTTGGAGGAATTCCAAAGTGAAAACGATTTAATACAAAGAATAATTAACCTGTCACCTGAGAAACCCTGCTGGCTCAGCACCCACCCTCCCAGACACATGCTCACACAAAAGACAATGAGGGTGTATCTTCTTGACTATTCAGGCTAGCAATAGGCTTGTCCCTGCTACCCCTACCCTGCCCCAAGAATATTAAAGCCTGCAGGCATCTTAGATCTTATAATCTTAGGTTTCATCTAAAAACCCTTTGTTTTGTAAATAAGAAAACTATTGCTAAACAAGAGATTATGCCGAGACATCAGCAAGGGTGGAACTGGATGCAGGGTGCCTGACTCGGGTCCCAGGCACAGTCTCCCATGCCCAGTCAATGATCAGCTTGGGCCAAAATAAAAGTGAGAGCCTTTGATGGCCGAGACACCCCATATTACTAATGCCACGAAATGTTCATATACATCTTCTTTGTGTGCTGAAGTTTATGTCTGGGCATTTAGACAGGGACTATGGAATGGAGGCAAGGGAGAAACTTTTACCAAATGCTACCAAGATCCAGCATAATTTGGGGTTTTGTATGCAATGAGAGAAATGTGCTCAATATTGCAGAATCTCTATGAAAATAAAATCCTGGGACTGAAGGTGGTGAGGGTTAGTGGAATCAACCTTAGGAGTTGGGAGACAATAGAGCAAAGCAATGCAATAATGCAATGCCACACAGTACAATTTAATTTCTACACCACAGGGCATGTTCAGTCTTCTAGCAAAAGACAGAAAGGGCTCACTTCCACCTGGCATCCTGCAAGCTCACAGTGGCTGAAGACACATTTTGTACTTTGTCTTCCAGTGAGTTTCCCACCCATGTATTAAAGGCAGCTTCTTTATGCCATTGTCTCATAAGTGAATTACATGAATATTTTTTACTAGCTCTGCACAAAAACCCAAAATAGCAAGTAATCATTAAAGGAACTGACAAGCAACTCATTGCAACTCATTGCAATTTACTCATTGCGTAAATTATTATAACTTTTTGTCCCCGAGGAAAAGAGAAGTAAAGGACCCATGTTAAGGAAAACAAAGCACTATTTTACATTTATTTTTCTGGGAGAAGAGTTGCTGGTTTCAAAGATAAAATACCTGTTCTTCTTCTAGAAGAATCAGACCTACAATTGCAATGTTGATGTTTCCTCCTATTGTTCCATCTTTGAATAAAGCAGACACCTGGAAAAGACAGGCAGTCCATGTCAGTCTGCATGTGTGACACCATTTCTCCCCAGGCCACAGTCTGCATGGAGTCCTGACACTGAGGGCCAGTCTCTGTGTTGTTTAGAGACATGGCAACACTATGTTTCTTATAGTGCCAGACAGAGGAGTATAGGAATATTTATCAACCAATAGACCAATTGTTGAATACTTGTCATTGGTGTCTGGGAGAGAAAAATTGAAGTTTAGGGAGGGAGGGTCCAACTAGTCTCAAATACCAATGTAGGGAATACAAGGTCTCTGAATTGCTATGTCCTCAGTAGAATAGAATAGACAACTTTTACTCATAGTGATAACTATATAGGTAAGTACTACCCAACCTCTCCTGGCAAGGGATTCCAGAAACATAAAAAAATGCTAAGAAAAGACCAAGAGGACATGAAAAAGAGAGGAGAAATAAAAGATGATCAAAGAAAGAGGCAAACATTTGACATGATGATCAAAGGTGTAGAAGTGAATATTGAAGTGGCATTTGGGGTGATAAGTAATGACAATCCATAGTGTGGGACACAACAGGGAGGTGACTTTGCACTGAGCTACCCCTCACCACTCTACACTGGAGGTGGAGAAAGATTAGAAAAGCTCTAGAGAATAGCGGCGACACTTGAGCATCCTGGGCCCTGTTGTCCTCAGCCCGGTGGGTGTGCAGGGGCAGGTAAGTGAGTGTTACCGTCTCCCTCAATTCCCTGGGAGGTCATAAACTACAGGGTCACACTATCAAAAATGACACTAGCAGCAACAGCCATTTGGCAACATAGAAATATAAAAACATTTAGGGGTATTCTGTTTATTGAGGCAGAACATAAAATAGATTTTTAAAAAAGATTTTATTTATTTATTTTTAGAGAGGGAAGGGGGAGAGAGAGAGAGAGAGAGAGAGAGAGAGAGAGAGAGAGAAACATCAATGTGAGGCTTCTGGGGGTCATGGCCCGCAATCCAGGCATGTACCCTGGCTAGGAATCGAACCTGGGACACTAAATCGATTTTTAAAATATGGTTACCACAAGTATTTTTTAAGACACATTTTGGTGACCCAAGATTTTGTCTTCTGTTATCTAGAGGTCACTCTGGTGACATGAGGCTTAGGTTCCTATTACCACTCTTCCATAATTACTGTAGCCGCCAGTGTGGGGACAGACACTCTTTATGTGAGATGACACTCTAGATGGTTGTACTGTTTTTCTAGATAAAATAATATATACTTAATATTTGGACATTAATATTTCTAAAATGAGTATTTCTATTAACCATCTAAAAATCACACAAATAGTGGTGATGAACAGATTTGCTGCACTAAAATAACTCAGCATACTCCTTTAGATTTCTGGTAACTGAAAACACCAGTACATCAAAACAGGTTACCAGTTTACAGAGAGGATCAAATTGTCCATCCTCCTTAATTTATTCTCTGAAGTTCTAAAAATGGCTCTTTTGAAGGGAGCATAATAAAACTGAAGGAGTTATCACAGATAAACCATTTCCATGTATGAGACATAAAACCATAAGTAAAAAGCAAAATGTAAAACACACACGCACACACACACCCCATTAGGGGTAACTACACACTCAGCCTCAAGAAGACAGATGCTTTTACCATGTTGAGTATTGTCAGTACATAGGTGGTGATATTTTCATGACCGTGGTTTTGCATCATCTTTTTGTCGACCACTACCAACGTCTCCACGTTCAATTCTTTATTCCTATGGGACTTCAGAAGAGAGCGCTTGTGCCGTGGGCAGGACTTATACTCGTCAGGTAAGATGAAAAGGTCTTCCTTGGGAGGCTTGGGCATGTCTACAGGGGACATACAGAGAGTGAATTAAAGCCGATTCATCACACAAAATGGCTGGTGGAACTTGTTATATAGAAATTGAATTTAAAAAGTGAGTGTTCAGCCCTGGCTCAGTGGAGCTCAGTGGATTGAGCACACGCCTGCTAACCAAAAGGTTGCTGGTTTGATTTCCAGTCAGGGCACATCCCTCCATTGTGGGCCAAGTCCCCAGCAGGGGACATTTGAGAGGCGATTACACGTTGATGTTTCCCTCTATCCTTCCTTTCCCCTCTCTCTAAAAATAAATAAACAAATCTTTTTAAAAAGTGAGCGTTCAGGTGCCAGAGGAAAGGGAGGAGGAGGGGGATGGTGGGAAGGTGGGAGAGGGATTAGTCAAAGAAAATGTGTGAATGACCCCTGGACATGGACAATGGTGTGGGGATGGACTGTGGGAGAGGGGGGTGGGCTGGATGGAGGAGGGCAAAGGGGGAAAATTGGGACAAGTATATTAGAGTAAACAAGAATAAAAAATAAAATTAAAAAAGTGAGTATTAATGATATGAAACATATAACCCTTAAAACTTTATGAAGCTTGAACACTCAGTTCAGAATGTTCCACACCAAAGAGTCCAGATGTCATGAAATCATTGTTTTATTTACCTTTGTGTAACTGTGGCCTGATTTTAAACAAGAGAGGGTCATTTTTGTTCTGAAGTATAGCATCTAGAAGCACAATGCTTAAAGACTATTAGTGTAAGAATTTATGGAATGGGCTATGCAAAAGAGTTATTGACAAAACAATATGACCAACAATTACAAGAAAGTGCTGCCTTACATTTTTTTCTTATTTGAAGGCTTTGCGACTGGTTTGTCTGTAGTGTTTCAAACAGGTTCTAAACTACTTGAAACAGATCAACCTCACTTCAGAGTTGACTTTCCTAGAAAGTACCATAAATTTTACCTAACTTAATTAGATGACAAAACGTACTCTGTCTTCTGGAAGTAAATCACTTAAAAATAGTTTTGGCATTTATAATCCTAGGTCAATCCTAGGTTAACCCTAGGTTAAAAACAATTCAGTTTAGTGGATGCCTTAGAAAACGTGGTTAAAATTGTATCATGTCAAAGTATATTTCAAAATACCCGCATAATTAGCCTCCAAAAACTACTCCAGCTCCATTTATGGACCACACTGCTAGACGATGCCTTTTTGTTTGACTGGCACTCCCATCGAATGCATTTTATCTCTCTTTGCTAAAATACTTTCAAACCTGAACAAACCTTTCGGAGGATAATAATTATACCAGCTAACATTCATCATTCACTATTAACATGGATATAATTTACACAGATGTGAACTCTACCTGAAGCTCTGTCTGTAACTAACTCAGTCTCTATAGCAGCCCTGGGTAGGGATGAGACACAAAGGCTCAGGGAATGAACATAATTTGCTCACTGTCCCTTCTTAGAAAGTGTTAAAAATGAGTTTTATATTTGTCAGTGTGGTCCTAGAGGCTTTGATTTTAAATTTCACTGGTGGTAAAATGCTTGCAGGAGGAAAACAGACACAGCGTAGAAACAGAGCAGTTTACAGGTCTCTGGAAATGGGGGTGGGGCAGAAGCACTGGGAAAGGTGCGGGGGTGACCTTACTGGCCAGGGCTCTGAGAGCAAATCACTCTGAGAGCCCCTCAGAGCAAATCACTTGCTCTTCAGTGTGGTAATTGCAGCATTTTCCTCCAAACACAAGTGCCATCTCAAAACCCAACCACAGAGCCTGCAGCTGGAAGCAGCAAGCTGATTCATGAGCCTGAGGTTCAGGGTCAGTATTGATTTTAAGCAAATCGATGTGCCTTTGTTTGCCCTTTTCCACAGATAGATGCCTAAACACATAGAAAAATCTCTTATTTTCTGAGCCAGAGCCTCTAATAGGGATGAATCTTTCAAGTATGAACCCCACTGTACCAGAAGACCCAGTTACTCCAGGGGAGTTGGAAACCTCACAGAGAACGTGGGAAAATCCATGCACAGATAACAGGGGTCCTGAGAATTAAATGCCTCAGCCTGTAGCCAACGTTTGTCAGTTCTGCTAGTCACACAGCCCACAACCACCCAGGGGTCCCACAGTACATAACTACATGTGCTCAGCAGAAAAGGGTCAGAAATAGTTGTCGAATCAGACTGCACCACAGCTATCCCTACCATCTTCCACTGACAAGGTGCCTTTTTGTGGCCATTTCCTCTTCTAGTTTTATTATGAAAACAATAAGTATTTTTATATTCTAAATACAAAACTCATTGTACACTTTAAGTCTTTTTCAAATAATTGCCAACAGGTCACCAATATTGAGATTCTACAATACCTGTTAAGGCAACATATGCACCCACACGCAGGCACAGCTGCACACAATATGCACACAGGGCACACTGAACAGAACAGTTTTACTGAGATGCATGCACAGCTGAGCCCTAGCTGCTACTGGCCCGAGTGACTCAAATCACCTCTAGATAAGAACAAAAGGGTCATATTTATTTCTAGATAAGAACCAAAGGGTCATATTTATTTCAGCACTGTTGGGTTTTCTCAGGGCCTATGACAACATTTGCTTCAGTGTTGGGAACCGCCCTGCCTGGTATCAGAAGCTGAAACCCCTGCCTAGGCTAAAGCTAAGGGAACGCCCTTGGAACCGTAAGCCAGCAAGGAGACAACAGCTTATCTCCCTGGCAGGAATGGTGCTTCTGCTGCTTTATTCATAACTGAACCCCAAAAGCTTGGTTGGTTAGCCAAAGACGGGTAAGATTCCCCAAGGGGGGAACGACCTAAGACAGGCACGATCACTTTGGGGAGGCCCCCCCAAAAGAAGGACTTGGGGGGGGGGCTGCAGCAAAAGGGGGTGATGGACCCTCGCTCCTCGGCTTTGACATAGCCTGAGTTCTCAGCGTCTGGGAGAAAAACCTCCTTGTCTCTAGGTTGCCTTAGTTCCCTTGCTCCACCTAAGCCTGAAACAATGACAGGGTGGTGCAGCTCTGTGCTGAAAAGTGCGGATTCCCCGGGTGATCAGGCCTAAGAAAGAACATGTAAATTACTGTGTAACCTTCTTTGTTTAGAGTGCTCTCAGTTGAATGAGAAGGGTCTTAGGAGGAAGTTATTTTGTTCCTCAGTCTTACAGCTCTTTGACCCCGACTCAATAGACAGGCAGAGTTCTTTGTTTTCTATAGTTCCTTACTTCCCCCTAATGAGTACTGCACTTTACCTGAATTATTATGCACAATGAGCCCAATAAAAGCAGGTATGGACGGTAAATCGGCACACTCCCCACTGGGGGGGGTGGCCATTTCGTCCCTACTTCCCCACAGAAACTGGTCTGTCTCTGTGCCTGTGTTTTTTCTCGCGTGTTTTTCGGCGAGCCATCTGCAGCGTTCCGTGGTCACTGCTGGCCGGTGACCCATGCGCAACACTTCAGACCCTGGCATGGCTATTAAAAAGATGAAGACAATCCTACTCTTGTCTCCTACCCAGATCGACTTTTCTTCCCTGATACATTAAATCTGTCTTTCCCAGACCACACCCACAGCCCTAGTCCCGCCAGCATGCAGCCAGGCTCTGACCTTGTCGATGCCTTACTTCTCCATCTTGTCCTGATTCTGCCTGGACCCATCCTCTGCCCTTCCCACATGCCTCTCCCTGCCCACTCGTCCCTAGGCAGCTATGGCTGATGAATATACTCTGTTATATTGTATTACCCACTGACCCTCTCTCTGACCTGACTTTCTCAGGCTCCTGTTCACCTGTCCTTGTTCTTAATTCTGTTCTTCCAGCTACCTTTGTTAAGATAGAACTGAGTCCACTGACGAAGTCAATTCGGGCTGCAGTTTTTCAAATCCATTTGAATGTAGCTTAAGGCTTTTATGTATTGGAGGATATGAGTTCAGATGATACCTGGGTGCTATGGTATTATTCTTTCATTGTAGGGGCCAGCTGGTTATGCATCATTCACTCTATTCCATAATATTTATGGACTTGCCTGCACATGCCCACCTCTGCTTTAGGGTGCTGGGTATAGCAGCCCAGGAAACCAAACAACAGAGAAAGATGGAGCTGGGGGAGGATGGGCTCGGGGGAGGAAGGCTTGATGAAGTGATGCTGGAAGGGGATGTTGAAGGAAGTGGGGGAAGTTCCAGAAAACACTGAACTCATATTCTTGAATTTGTAAGAGGTTCCCACATAAAATGTAAACAACACATCACCACCTAAATGTTCATGACAAAAAAGACTTTGATAAAGTCATGGTGATAAATTGTAGGTAAACTATGTCCTGCGTAGGCAATCTTTTGATGTGGTGAGTCAAGTCCATAAATATGTATAGAGATAAATTACCTCAGCAGGAAAACTATGTAGGCTTTAATAAATCTAGACCTCAAAAATATAGAATTACTGAGTAGACATTTCGGGGTTCTTTTGAAGATGTCTGGTGAATTTTGTACTCCTCAGCAGTGTGTCATTTAATCTGTCCGGGAAACAGCTCTTTAAAAAAATGAAAACATCTACCATCCATTATCTATCCATCTACCATGGAGAGAGCTTTTATACTGAACACACAGGTGATGGGCTTTCTTTGGAATCATCACTTACATTAGCAAGGACAGTTAATAAATGTCACCTTGAAGACAGACATACTTTGATGAAAACTGAACATACTCCGTCAGCTTATGTAAATGGTAAAATCATTAAATACACAAAGAAAATCGCCCTTACATACATTTCTTGCGTCTTCCACAGAAATGCTGCTTTTGTGGGTGCCTGAGGTTAAAGCGGCCGTGCACAGGTTGATTTTCATGATAGAAGAGGTGGCGACTTTCCAGCTCCCGCTGCCTCTGGACCATCATTACCTGCCGCCCTCTCTGAGCCCGTGGATCTGTGGATCTCTTATACAGAATGTGGGAGGGAGGCCCACCTTCGGCAGATTCATTGAGTCTTCCTTCTAGGTGTGAAGGAAGTGGCTTTAAGAAGTAATCTGCTTCTTGTGTTCTTATCATGCCTGACTGGAAAATGGAGAGGAAGAAAGAAAACACAATTATATTTCCAACTGGAGACATAGACAGCACTACAAGCATTCCTTGTTTTATTCTTACAAGCATGCTGTTCTCACATTCTGTTCCATCCTTGAGAACACATCTTCAGGGACTCACACACCTGGGCTGGGATTTACAAATGGGAAATGGCCATCTCTGCTCATATGCAACCTTTCAGGAGGGTGTGTGTGGAGGTGTTCCATGACTTGACTTCAGCAAGAGAAAGAGAGCACCCAACATACTAATGTCAGTTAATTTTAACCAAATAATGGAGGAGAAAGCACACATACACAGAATTAGACATTAGTATGGGTCTGTGCGTGTGGAGCGGTTCCCAAATGAAAAATAAAATTACAACCTTAACAGAGTAATTTGCAAAACTCTGTAAACTTGAATTAATGTGATTGCTTTCTATAAAATTGTAACTTAAAATTAGTCCAGAAAAAGAATAAAAGAATTTCTGAGGGAATCAGGAAGTTCTTTTTTAAGCAAAATATGAATGACGTAGGAAAGAACTGACATTATAAAAACACTGGAAATGTCTGTACAGCACAACACAAAACTAAAGTAGCATAAACAACACCAAAAATGTCTTAAAGAAGATGAAATTGAGAGACTTTGTGCCTTTTGGAGTGACAAACACTTATAACTTTTGATAGTAAGAATTGCTGAGAATGTGGGTGCAAACAGTCCACCTGACACTGTGGGGAGTGCTAACTGGGGCCAGAGCCAGGAGCTGGGCCACTAGCGCTATCGGCATTCAAAATATACAGCTCAATTCTCGGAATTTATCTTGTAAAAATCTTGTCAAATACTTCTTGTAGACACGTCCTCAATATTGGTAAATATTTATGAATGTATATTGCAGCATTTTAACAGCAAAAATGTGCAAAAAACAAAAATAGTAAAAACAAGAATTTAAGTCTTTACCAATTAATTCAGGGTAATTTTTAATTAAAGATTTTATTTATTTAATTTTAGAGAAGGAAAGGGAAGGAGAAAGAAAGTGAGAGAAACATCAATATGTGGTTGTTTCTCAAGTGCTCCCTACTGGGGACCTTACCTGCAACCCAGGCATGTGCCCTGACTGGGAATCAAACCAGTGACCCTTTGGTTCACAGGCTGGCACTCAATCCATTCAGCCACACCAGCCAGGGCTTAATTCAGGGTAATTTTTTAATGCACATTTATATGTTTGTAGAGTACATACCATTAAAAAATAATACAATTATGTACTTATGATAATCAAAATTAAACATTTTTTCCTGAGTTCCTGAAACTGGTCAATACATTAGATTCTATATAATACCTTATTTATCACTCACAGTGATTCTGCGATGTTGCCATCATTATTATCCTCCTCTAGGCATGAGGAAACAGAGAGATAGGGTGATTAACATGTTCAAGTTCACCTGGCTAGGGAGTATACTGCATGGATTTGAACAAAACAAGAGTAAATTCAGGACCTATAAGTTTTAGGTTTTCAAGGTTTCCAAAAGGCATTGAACTTCAAAAAAGTATATAATAAAGTACATAGTTGAACTCAGTTGTGCTCATTTTGAAAAGCATGCTTCTATACTTAGGGACTTTTCCTGGAAGAACTGATGAGAACTTGTGGATGGTAGTTATCTCAGGGAATGAGTAGGAGGGGTCTGGGAGGGGACTTCCACTTTCATTTTTATATCTTTCTGTCTGTGTGCACCATTGCATGGCTGGATCACAGAATGACAGATGCATTTTTAAAACCCTTTAAAAATGTAAATAAGTATGGCCATACAGTCAGAATACAACTAACTACTCTTAAAGAACTGGTAGGTACTATTTAAAACTCTCCAATACTGAACTTCCAGAATTACAATTGTGCTGATTTTCTCCCAAGTTATTTTGATAACTTAGTATATGGATGCTTACCAGGTGCTCAAAGACACTGATGCACCAGTGCCTGTTCTAAGCGTGCCTCTGACAGAGGAGCCCCAGTCTGATTCTCATTTGGGAAGTACTTATAGTGTGTCCTTGCCACCAAATGAAGTTCTTTGTTGGGCTGTGCTGTGCTGCATGAATCTGAATATTTGCACAATGTGGGATGGTAGGAATGGGGAAGCACCTCTTAGATCTTGGGAAAGGGCAAATACAACTCTGGGGGACCCTAGAGTTAGGGATTGGAGATATAAAAGAAGGGGGTACATTTGGAGATGGAGCATTGGCTCTAGTGTTCCTGCTGGTGGGGCAAAGGTATACTTGGTAAATTATCAATGAAGCTATCAGCACCATGGGGGGTGGACCTCCTGGGGCCCGAATGCAGCCTCACAGTGGAAAGTGAAATTCTTGGAATTTACGCTCTGGATCACAGAGGAGGAGGCAGGCTCTCCCGCCAGGTTCCAGGTGAGCGACTTGGTAATCTTTCTTGCCTTCTGGAACTCTACCAACTAAACTAGGATACAATACTGCTTTAATGTTTGCTGTTCTATCAAGAAATAGACAAGTAGGAAATTAAATAGTAGCCAAAGCCAGTTGGGTTTCACCCTATTTACACTTCAACTAACGCAAGAGTAGCAGAGCCATCATGGATGTGCTTGATCTTGTGCGATTAACACTATCCAAAGAGGTTTTGCACTCTATTGAAAGTAACTAGTTTGAGTATTAAACTAAAAAAAAGAAAAAATAAATTTTTGCTTAAAATAAACTTTTCTGGCATACAAATAATTCCTTGCTTTACAAATCAGTCTTTAGAAGACTGTCAGCTCCTCTATGTTCTCTAGTAGATGAGGTTCAGCATATCTAGTTGCAAGCCCCAGTGGACCCATAGAGATCGGCCGCATAAGCCAGACACCTGAGGTAGAAATTATCATCCAATCCTACATTATGACCTGTGTGACCTTGGAAGTTTTACTTAGCCTCTCTTTGCCATTTTGCCATCTAGGCAGCAGATATAAAGACAGCTATTTGCCATGAGTTTTTAAGACTGAACAATAATATACTTTAAACACATAACTTGCAGTAAATGTGCAAACAAAATTTGCTGAATTAATGAAACAAAGAGTGTGAAATAATATACTTCATCCTGATAATTCAGGAGGCTTGGGGGGACTTTTCACTGTACAGTATGAGATCTCTCTGAAGCCCAAATGTTGGTGCACTTCATGTCCACAATTGCCCCAAACACATCTTTGCTTCCCTGGCAGGATCCCTTACCTTTTACATTCTGTCTGGCTTCTTCACCTATCTTGCTGTATTATTGGTTTTCAAGTTTATTTAAAAGATTAGGCAAGTCATGGAAGATTAATGTTTTCTCCTTATCAAAGTTTTCTTTTGCTTTATCAAAAATATTTATTTGGAAACTCATAAAATGTCTAGTGTACACCTGCCCACAGTAACCACTGAGATGTCAGCTGGGTGGCTTATTAACCATGTCCCCCAGGCTTTGCAAAGGAGCTCTCCCAGGGCCTCCATCTCTCATGGCCAATTCTGTAAATCATTTTACAGTGGGAAGCCTACCAAACACTCATGCTGAATTTATAAGGAAGGAAAAAATGTGTGTCATGTTAGTGCTGAGAAAATGCTGCTTTTGAGCAATGTAAGCAAAGAATTGTTGAAGTTTGAAAGTAGGATGTTTACTGTATTTTAAGTGGTATCATCTACAGTTAAAAGTTGGCAGAGTTCTATTGATGTGTATCTATTTATAAACACTGTTCATAAAAGTTGCATAAATCAAAAATAAAATGGAAATTAGGAAGAATGAATAAATGTCCAGTCAGGGAGTCTGTTTCTCCTACAATCTAAAAGGCCATCGCTGAATTGGCTCTAAGATTGTCTCAGATGACACCATAAGCTCTTTTCAAGACTGCCAGCTGTTAATAAACACAGTGAGAACACGATCACTGTGTTTCTCCCATTAAGAGAAACAGGCATTTTAATTCCCCACTAATTTCATTTTTACTCTCTTTCATTTTTTTCTCTAAGTGTTATTTGTGTTGAGAGTATTCTACTTATTCTAGTCTTCTCAGTGATGTGTCAGAAACACAAGACAATCTTAACATTTGTAGAACTTTTATAGAAGCCAGACTCCGCTTTTTATTTTCTTATAACCTCAGGGTCACACACGAACCTGGCCCAAGGCCAGTCCCTCCCTTGCCAAGGGCCCAAGACCGCAGTAAGTCTTGTTGCATGATAATTTGTGATCCTTTGAAAATGAAAATTCGGCCAAAATCTTCTAAGAAACTAAACAACCACAAGGTTCTCTCCTTTCCCAAGAGATTTCATATCTGATTCTTATTATTCCTATCCTTGCTGCACCTAGTTTGGGCACTGGGCTTCCTTATTCCTCTGGCTTTCAAGGACAATGGGGCTGGTATGCTGGTCACAGGAAACACCCACCATCACAAACCAAAATCAGTCCAGTCTTCAAAATTCAGTCATTCACTCAGCTCTAGACTTGGTCACTGGTTACATTCTTATTGCTCATCTACAGTTTCAAAAAGGCTAACATTTTGAGTCTTATAAAAGATTTCTGGTTAAAGTTAAATGCTGTAAATTTTGTTAGTTATGACATCATTTAAGTCATCACAATCCACCAAAAAGCCTGAGCCCAGGTTTCTCAGAAATCTCAATTCCTACTGCAGGGCTATCAGAAGACATGATTCACTCCTGAGCACTTGCTGGCACCTGGGAGGAAGAAAGGTGGGGCTGGAGGCAAGGGAAGCAGAACTGCAGAGAGGCTCAGCTGGAGGCTGACTGGGAGTTGGCACAGAAGGGTGTGTCTTCTGAAGGGGAGAGTTCTAAGTCTTTCCCCATTTGCATGGCTCAAAGCAGATTCATTCGCTTTGTTGAATTCTATCTGGGCTCGTGACTTGGTCAAATTGGGTGGGTGTCATCACTAGCAGAGGACAGACAACAAGTGAGACTTGGGTGAAGTGTCATATGTAGAAGTGAAATATCTACACCCCCCAGCCCCACCCCCCTCCCCACACACC